GGCTGCAGCCGGACCCTGCCCAAGCCAAGACCCTGACATTCCCAGCAGATCTCTCACAGAGGTGCTGGGAGTCAAGAACCTGCAGCATCTTCCACTACGTTCCCAGGAGCATTAGTAAGACGGGTTGGAACTGGAACTACCACGACCTGAATTGGCATTCCAACATGGGATCTAAGTGTTGCAGGCAGTGGTTTAACCTGCTATAGTGCTAAATGTAGTTTAAACCACAACTAAGTACTGTTGTTTTTTTCCTAGAATGACTAGAATTAAGAACCCTTAAAGATTAAGTTGATACAAAAGGTTATGGTTTAGGTCTGAATGACAAATGAGGGAAGATGAAGAAAGGTCTGTTAGGTTGTATTGGGATTATCAACACAAAAGAGACAAGTTATCTATCTTGGTTTGCCAAAAGGGTATGGAAGCAATGAGAGTAAAGTAATTAAATACTCGGTTTTACCAGAAGGGTTCCTTATATAAATGGTTGATTTCATGTCTGGAACAGGGAAAATACCAAAGTTTGAAAGCCTTATGCTAGAATAATGATTGAAGTACCAGTAAGGACGTGTCGTAAAGTCCCACTTCCCAAGGTATAAACTGAATATCAAGAGTCTACAATGCAAGTATTGCATATGGCTGCTGGTTTTATGCTCAACTGTTCTACTTCTGTTCAAGCTTTCTGCTAATGTGCCTGGAAAGCTGCATAGGATGGCCAAATGCTTGGGTCCCTGCACCCACTTGGGATGCCATGAAGAAGCTCCTGACTCAGTTTCAGTCTGATCCAGCACTGGCCATTTTGGCCATCTTGGTAGTGGACCAACAGATGGATGATCTCTTTGTTTCTCCCTGTCTGTAACTCTGTTTTTCAAATAAATGAAAGTCTACAATGATAAATTATTGAAATATACATATGCTTTTTGGAAAATACACTGGTATGGATTTATTATTAGCATGAGTCAAAGGAAAAATAAGTTCGTTTTTATTTGGCAGAAGAATGTTAACTTATAAATACTGAAATGATGACAAAGTAGAAAAAGTAACTACACGGTTCTGGAAGAGATTACCGTGACTCTGAAGTTTGGTATCACTACTAATGAGGCAAACTGACACTATGTGCTTCTTTCTGTGGTGTAATAAGTAAACAACATCATTTACACATTTCTCTTGAGGTTTGGGATATCCTACAATTTAACTGACCTCAACTTTTAAAACAAACTTCAAAAAAAAGTTGAGATCAGTTCTTTAGCCTAGCTGTTAAGCTGTCCACGTCCTACATTGTAGTGTCCGAGTTTAAGTCCTTGTTCTGACTGTTGAATCCAGCTTCCTGTAGTTAAGATGTTGGGAAGCATTGGTGATGACTGAAGTGATTGGGCTTTAGCAACTGTGCAAGACACCTAGATTGAATCCCTGGTTTCTGGCTGTGGATCTGGCCCTGACTCAGTCCTACCCTTGTGCCCATGGTTCAGTCCTACCTATTGTAGGCATTTGAGGAGTGAACCAGCAGATCGAACCAGTTCCATGTGTCCGTCTCTTCCTCTCAAACTAAAACACATATTTAAATCAGTGTCATAAAACCAAGATGATGGGAATATGGGATTAGAACCGGAGTAGAGTTATGATCCTTTTAATTTAAAAAAATTTTTTTTTCATTTTATTTGAAAGGTATAGCAACTAACCCAGAGAGATCTTCTACTGGTTCACTCCTTAAGTGCCTGTAGCAGCTGGAGCTGAGCAAAGCTGAAGTCAGAAAGAACTTGACCTTGGTCTCCTAGTGGGTTTGTGAGAAGGACCCAAACACTTAAGCCTTTATTTGCCTGGCTGTCAGACTTGAGCAGGACAGCAGGAAACTGGATTGGAAGCAAAGTAGCAGAATGTAAACCAGGCACCTTGATTTGAGTTGCAGGGGCTAAAAGATTCCTGCCTCAGGCACAATTCTTTTTTTTTTTCTTAATGATTTATTTATATTATTGGACAGTCAGATTTACATAGAGAAGGAGAGACAGAAAGATGCTCTGTGTTCTGGTTCACTCCCAAAGTGGCTGCAGTGAGGAGAACTGAGCCTAGCCAAAGTTAGGAGCCAGGAGCTTCTTCTGGGTCACCCATGCTGGTGCAGGGTCCCGAGGCTTTTGGCCATCCTCTACTGCTTTCCCAGGCCCCAAGCAGGGAGCTGGATGGAAGTTCATGAACCTGTGCCCATATGGGGTCCCAGTGCATGGAAGGATTTAGCCACTAGAATATCCTGCTTGGCCCTCAAGCACAATTCTTTTTTGTTTGTTTGTTTTGTTTTGTTTTCACATTCTCTTTCCTTCCTCTGTCTGGGGAAGGGGAGAGATAAGAGGAGAAGCCACATCCAGCTTCCCAACCATCCGAGGGTCTCCAATGTGGGGCATGCACCTAGGGTCCTGCTTAATGGTTTCGATAGTTCAACAGTTCTGTATTGTTGCTGATCTTGCCATTCCAATCATGTCTAAATCTCTCCAGAATCCAGTGACTGACATAGTCCACCTTAGAGACTGCTTGCCCAGGTATTCACTGCCAACACTTGGCTGGGGTAGTTGATTGATTTGCTCTATCCTCCATCCTCCGTTATGATACCAGGTGTCCTGCAAGCTGCAGTGTACTACCATATCCTCCATGTGCTTGTGGATATGCTATCCACTGTTCTGTTTAAGCCACTGAGGAGGCCCAGCTCTGGCACATGCATTCCATGGTCAGACTATGAAACCTGCAATTCTCTCCATGGTTGGAGTTCTGAGTCCCATGGTTCAGTTGGGTGGATTCCAAAGAAACTTCATCTGACATGATCTGTGATCTGATTCTTGTGTGTGCATGCCAATGCAGGGTCTGGCACAGTCCATCACCCAAATAGGCCTTCGTGCACAGTGTTAGTTGCAATTGCTGGGTCAGTTGTCTCCAGCCCTGTCTCCTACACAAACCAATGGGTGTTGCAGCCCAGTCTGATCCTGCCCACCGCACACTTAGCCCCCACACAAACCAGTGGGCGTAGTAGCCTAGTCTGAGCAACCCACAATAACCCCTACCAGACCCACACCCTGCCCTGGTTCGCATGCTTGCCAGTATGTGCAACCGACTGCTCCAGTCTGTTTCACATCCCATTAAGCTCTCATATATGTGTCAGTGGGTATTAAAGTCTAGTTCAATCCAACCAGCCCCACTATCCAGCCCACACATGTGCTGACAGGTGCTACTCTCTGTCTAGCCATGCCTCTCCCAGTCCTGGGTCTCATGCTCTCCCGTGGGAGTGGCAACCCAAGAAGCAGGTGCCCACTGTTTCCCTACTGGGCCCACTCCCATTCCCGGATCTTGTAGTCTCCAGGTTGTACTGCAGTTTAGCTCAACAGTTTGCCACCCGTGCATCTGCCAGCTGATGCAGTAGCAAAGCCCAACCATCCTACACCTACTCTGGCTTATGCATGTACCAGTAGGTACAATATACCTAGCCTGGTTTGTCCCCAATACAGCTTACATGCAGGCCAACGGGTGTTGTAGCTCTGCCCACTCTGGTCTCATGCTCACCAGTGGGAATAGTCACCCAGCAGGGGAACTCCCCGCAGCCCCTCTACCGGGTTCGCCCACTCTCCCCCTGGTTTCATGTGTGCTGGTTGGGCACTGTGACCCAGTCTGGCACAGCCCACCATACCTCAGCAATTCAACAGTGGGTGCTGTAGCCTGGCCCAGCCCAGCTCAGCCCACCCCCAGTTCCAGTTCACGCTGGTCAGGACTACAGTGTAGGTCCCCCCAGCCATCCCTGGGTTCTAGCCCTAATGTGAAATGGCTGGTATTGCAACCTGACCTGGCATGACCCACACACCATTCTGGCTCTCAGATTTGCCAGTGGATGCTATGAACTCGGCCCAGCCTGTCTTGTTCCCGACCTGAGCCAAAGGTAAGCCTGTGGGTCCTGTAACCTGGCCTTGTCTGGGTTGTTTCCTTTTTTGGTTCTTGCACTCACCTGCAGGGACTATGTCCTGACAGAGGAGTTTCCCAAGCTCCTCTATTAGAACCCCTCCCAGTGCCAGATCTTGCACACACTGGTGGGTCCATGGGCCAGCCCTACTTAATCCACCTCCTGTCCTAGCAGGAATAGTAGCCTTTCCTGACTGGCCCACACACATTTCTGTTCTTACTCTTAGGTGCTACAGCCCAGCCAAACCTAGTCCACATCCAGACATAGCTCACGCATGGCTCAGCAGGAGCAGAGCCCTATCCCAGCCCATCCTACACCCATCCTGGTTCTTAGGATCACCAGTTGGTGCTGGAGTCTGGTACACCCCAGACCCAATCCATACTTGCAAGCACAGTTCTTAAGTTAAAGGGAATAACCAAATTAATTCTTGAGTTTTTATTAGATTCTAGTTAGAAAAGCTTATGACTCCAGATATTTTAGCGACAATTGAAGAAGTTGGGATATGTTTTCTATGTTACATAATTATTAAGTGTTAAATTTCACTAAATTCAGTAATGATACTTAGTTAAATAAGAGAAGGTGAGGTTTTTGGAGAATCTCCTTATTTTTGGGAAATATAGCTTAAGTATTTAGAATTACAGTGTCATGTTTACAGTTTATTCAAGTGGGTTAGGAAAAACAAAAATCATATGTTGGTGTATAGAAAAAGAAATTAACACAATATTAAGATTGAGACTGAGTGTATGAGTATTCTTTGTACTGTTTATGGCTTTGAAAGAGTGAAAATAAAAAGAAAAATTGTTCTGAGTTATTGTTATGTCACAATGCTTGGGCTCAATTTTCTAAGCATGTTGTTATGAAATAGTATTAATAATTTATTCGCATTAATTTTCCTAAAATGTTAGAATCAAAGTATCCCTGGAGATTTTTGTCTTGGCTTTTTTTCATGCTGATATGTAGAAATTAATTAAGTCATTTTAAAAAATGCTTTTCAGTTGATTGAGAGGCAAAAAAAAAAAAAAACCTACACACACATTAAGTTCCCATCTACTGGTTCACTCTGCAAGTGTGTGTCATAGCCAAGGCTGGGCCTGGACCAGAACCACGAGAAGTGGCCAGGAATGCAATCCAGGTCTCTTGTGTGGGTAGTAGGAACTCATTGCAGAGGTCTGTATTGGCAGGAAGTTGGAGTCAAGAACTGGAGCCAGGGATTGATTGAACCTGGGTATTGCAGTGTGGAACAGTGGTATTTATCTACTAGGCTAACACAGTCACTTAATTAAATCACATTGTTGGGTGGATTTTGGCTCAGTTTTTCAGAAGTTGCTTGGAAAACCAGCATTCCTTACTGCCAAGCATTCCTTACTGCAGTGCCTGGGTTCAAGTCTCAGCCATGCTTCTGATTTCAGCTTCCTGGTAATGTGCATCCTGAGAGGTAGTAAATACAGTTCTAGCCATCAGATTCTTGATGGACAGCCCGTGCCCAACTGTAGGCTGGCCCAGCCCTTGCTCTTACAGACATTTGGTGGGTGAACCAGTGTGGATGGATGGTCTTTCTCTGCTTTTCAAAAAATATATATAAGCAAATCATATTATAAACCAGTAATAGAGCTTGGCCAATGAATTCAGCTCTCGTATTTCCTAGGATATTGCTCTGTCCATTACTGCATGCTACATCTTTCAGTAAGATGACTATTTGAGGTAAAGAATTCAGGAAAATACTACTTATCATTTTTCTTCCTAGCACAGAAGCATCGTTATATTTTCCCTGTTGTGACAGCACTTTCAGACTGTGTATGACCTATTAATCTGTAGATATTTGGCTAAGCACTTTTGATATGTCTTGATCATGTGGTTCTGACTATACTGTTCATGACTGATTTTTAATGTCCTCCAGTGTAAGCTATGAAGAAGGACCTCCCTCGCGCTCTGAGACAGATCTTCCGAGACAGACATTCACAGCATCTCAGCAACTCCCTGGATACAGCCCCACGCCTCAGGCAGCCGGTAACAGCTCTCCTGTGAGATGTGCAGTGCATCAGGGTATGGTCAACCAATTGCAAGGAAAAGTCAGTTCTCAAAACTGGGCATCACCGTACCATGGGAAACATTGAAGTGAAAAAGTTTAAGAGCTTTGGCTTCTACTGATAAAAAATGTAATCAATAAATTGAGAAAGCTTTTCATGCATCTTTGGAGATTTTAAATTGTAAATATGGTTGGCCAAATTAAAATTTGCATGCTATTTCAAAATAAAAGTTTAGGGTTATAGAACTTTTTGCCCTATGTTTTCGGACATTAAAAAAATAGTATCAGGTCTATAATTTTATATAAGTATGTAGCTTTACTTTGTGATATTTTATCATCCAATGTAGGTCTTTCTGGAGTATTTGACACTAGTGTGAACAGTGCCAGCGCTAACACTAAGGAATCTTCAGTGATGAATTTTCTCTCTGCTGTGGAATCCCGAACTGCTCAGGCTGCTACATCAGGAACCATTTTACCCCAGTTCAGGGCTCCATCCTGGCAGACAGGTGAATCTTTCTTTTCAGAGTTGTGAAGTCTTGTAAAAATACTGTTCAAAAAACACACTTGATGTCCTTGTCATTGTGGTAGTGTGGTTAATTATTGATGCTTCACTGAACTTTAAAACCTGGAATTTTCCACAATTTTAAGGTGGATAAAAAATAAGAGTTTGTTACTGGCAGAAAAGTTGTTACTGATGAAAACAAGTGAAGGTTAGGTAATTATTAAAAATAAGCACTGATTTAAAGTTTATATTTGGCAGTTTAAGTATTTGTCTACTTGAGAGACGTAAAGTTGTAAATTTCATTTATCTTAGTGAATTTAAACTAAGATGCTATAGTAATATGTAGCTAGAATATTTTGCTGATTTATTAACTATCTTTTTTATGCTGCTTTATTAATTTCTGATTAATCTTTCTTGATAAATGTGTGCTGTTGTTATTTGGGATGTTATTTGAGATACTAGGTTTTGATGGGTCAGTATTGTGGCATAGTGTGTAAAGCTACTGCCTGAAATGATGCCTGCATCCCCTATGGGTGCATGCTTGAATTCTAGCTGCTCTTCTTTCAGTTGAGCTCCCTGGTAATGACCTGGGAAAGCAGTGAAAATGGCCAAGTGCTTAGGCTCACTTACCCATGTGGGAGACTTGGAAGAAGCTCCTGGCTCTGGGCTCCTGACTTTGTTCTGGGTGGAGCACTAGCTGTTGTGTCCATTTGAGAAGTGAAACTGGGGATAAAAGATTTTCTTTCGCACTCTGTAACTCTGTCTTTCAAATAAGTAAGTCTTCTTAAAAAAAATCAGAAAATGGAAACAAGTGCAATGACATACTGGCATCCCATATGGGTGCTGGTTCATGGCCAGGCTACTCCACTTCCCATCCAGTTCCCTGTTTATGGCTTGGGAAGGCAAAAGAATGGGTCCAGAAACATTGGGACTCTGTACCCATGTGGAAAACCCAGTAGAGGCTCCTGTCTCATAGCTTTGGATCAGCTCAGCTCTGGCCATTGTGACCCTTTGGGGAGTGACCAGCAGATGGAAGATCTCTCTGTGTTTCCTACTCTGTAAATCTGCTTTTCCAATAAAAAAGAAATGTTAAAAAGATTTTTGAAGTGAATATATTTGATAAAAGAAACTTTGCAGTATTCATTGTTTAGATGTATTTATCTTGCTAGAGACGGGCAATTCATTGTTGATATTTCATTGTCATTTTATGTAATCACTGATACTTTTGTCAGTTTCTGTTTTGTTTTGTTATGCTAGAGGGCTAGCAGTTGTGTTGTATTAATTTGCAAAAGATACCTACAGAATTACTTGGACTGGCTTTTTTTTTTTAATGTATGTATATATAATGCTTAGTTGACCATGATGGGAAGCATCAAGAATCAGGGAAAAGTGGATGAGACCATTTTTCTCAAATTTTCTTTTTCTTTTATTTGGAGTAACAGAGGAGCTAATGGGAGAAGCCCCACTGCCTGGGAATGGGCAGCATCTACCTGATATCAACCCAGGGTCCCCTGTGGGGGCAGGGAGCATGTTCCAAGGGTTTTACTAAAGTAGGTTCAATAGTCCTGAAGTGCCGTCAGTCTCACCAACTCAAGGATGGGGAAATCCTTCCAAGGTCCATTGACTGACATAGTTGATCTTAGAGTCTCCTTTTTCCAATGTATTTTCTTGTTATCATTTGGTTGGGGTAGTTTTCCAATTTGTTCTGTCCTCCTTCCTCTGCTGTTGTACCAGGCATCCTCTGGGCTGTCACATCCTCTGTGTGCATCTGGGCCTGCCCTCCACTGCTCTGTCTTCCTGTGAGGAAACCCAGTTTTGACACTTGTATTCTATGTTCAGACCGCCAGGTCTGGATGTGAGCCCTCATATCCCTGTATGCCCCCACCTGTGCCATTCCCCAGATCCTGTGCAGCCCCTACAATTATGCCGCCAGATGGACAGTGAGGTTTGACTAGTCTGGCCCACTGGTATGGTTTACACAGATTTGACATTAACCAGGCTCTTGATTCCCGCCAGCTGTTGGCTGCTTTTCTCGCAGCAGTATAATTCTTGCCTGGGTATAATGCAACCTAGCCTATTGCCCACAGTTAGGGGCTGGCTTACCATCTTATAGACATTTTGTGTAGGAATAACTAGTGCAGGTCACTACTATGAAAACATCTGTCTATGTATTTGTGCTGTAATTGTGTAACGATCTCTTTGCCTTCTCTTCAGGCATGCATTCCTCAGCTGCATCTGAGCTATTTGTTACTGGAACCTTGCCAACTACTGGAACGCTTCCATCACCTGCCCTCTCTGTTTATCAGCATCCCACCACCTTCAGCAATAGAAACTTTGCTACCACCTCGCCTTTGGTGCTTCAGGATTCGACCTTTAACACTACATCAAATGGAATTTTAAATCCTCATGACCCTTTGCTGCAAATCAAGACTTCCCAGGGGACTGTTCCAACTGCCTTGGCATTTGAGCGCCTGGGTAGTACTGCATTAAGTAACAGCGTACCACCTCAGTCTTCAACATATCGCTCAGCTCAAGAGTCGGCACCCCATCTTTTACAACCTCAGTTTAGTTTGTTGCCTTCAGCACTTGCAGGAGCCCAGCAAACTCCTCAAGTCTACAGTTCAGCCCTCTTTACTAGTTCTACTGCTTCCATTGAAAGAGCTCTTCTTCGAGAATGTAGTGTTATTAAACACCATCAGCGGCCTTCAGGAACCCAGTCTCTTCAGGCACAACTGACTGGTGCCCAGCATTCCTTACCTAGTTACCTGTCCAATGCAGGTGTAGGTAATTTTCAGGAAACAGCCAGGCAGTCATCCTTGTCCTGTAGTCCAATAGGAAATTCTCCTCAGGTGAGCAATGGAGGACCACAACAGAAGGCCCCCCAGGTCTCAGTGGAACTTGTTCAGTCATACTCATCTGCAGTTCCATCATCAGGGTATCCTTCTACTACAAAAGTAAACAACTGTTCCACAAAACCACTAGCATCAACCAAGACCCCAAAACCTCAAAATATAATTCCTCCTTTACAAACACTAAGCTATTCCAAACATTTACATAACCAGAGTTCTGTTATATCGGGCCAAGCACAAATTTATTCCACAGCGCAGCTACCAAGCCTCTTATCGGTTAGTCAGTCCCAAAATTATGGCTTAGTACAGCCACATAATGTGCCATCTATTGTTCATTCACAGGTTTACAGGTCCAACAAGGTTGAGAAATTGCCATCCTTGTATAAAAGTTTTTCTGGGTCATCTCAGACTGTACCCACTGAAAATCAAACACTCAATTATTCATCTAACCAGCAGGAGGTATTATCTTCAGTTACAAATGAGAATTACCCTGCTCAAACAAGAGATCTATCTTTAGTCAGTCAGTCTCAAAGTTACACATCTGGTCATTCTCAGGGTTTATCACCAGTTAGCCAGGCACAGGTTAGTTACTCATCTCAATCACAAGTCTTGTCAGCGGTTAGTCCTTCAGAAAGCTATGCCTCTGGGCAATCTTTGACATTAACAGCCCCTTCTCTTTCTTACTCTTCTGCTTCTCGGCCTCAAAATTTACCAGATACTAGCCCAACGCAGAATTACATTTCTATGCATTCTTCCCAAAATGCTCAGAGTCAAGAGTCATCTTCGCCGCAGTCCCAAAAATTTTTGCCTGCTGTCCAGTCACCATCCTTTGCATCCTCTACTCATTGTCAGGCATTACAGAATAACATACCTTCCCCTGATACAAAGTCTTACGCTGAAAGAAAACTTGACTCAAATGTGTACACATCCTCAAAGCAAGAAGATGATTTTCCAGTGCAAGAGTTACAGGTGTTGCAGTCACAGACAACTCTTGAGTCATCTACACAAAGACTATCTGAAAGGAAAATCAGCGCTCAAGAAACAGCTTACAAGGTCACCAAGGCGGATGACAGGTACTCTCAGAGTGTAATTAGAAGTAATTCATGTCTTGAAGATCAAGTTGTTGGGCTCACTCTACAAGGTTCAAAAAAGGAAGAAAGCATGGTTGGTTCAGTGCCACAGCTTAACCAGCAAGTGGGCCAAGTCAATAATGCTGCAACCCTTGATCTTAAGAAGGCAACTGACTTAATGCAGACTTCACAAATAAGGCTACATACTAAAAACGTAAGCCAGCAGTCTTCTCTTATACAAAAAGCACATGAAGTTAAGGCCCCGGAGCAGCATGATCAAATAGTTAATGTCTCATCTCAGATTCGAGTTCCAGATCATGCTTTAGGGCATGGGCATCAGGCACCTCTTCCCACTACCCAGGTCCTTTTAGATCCTGCCTGTGATTTACAGATTCTTCAGCAGTCAATCCTCCAAGGGGGCTTAGGACAAGTGAAGGCATCTTTACAAGCCCAGCGTGTTCAAAGTCCTCAACAAATAGTACAATCCTTCCTTCAAATGGATGGTCATATTATTCCAAGTAATGGTGAGCATTCTCAGCAGCAACTCCATCCTCAGAATTCTGATATTATGAAGCTGGACCTCCCTGAATCTTCAAAACCGTTACAGCAGCATCTGACCACAAAGGCCCATTTCAGTGAAACAAATCAGCATGAGTCAAAAAATCAGTTTGTTTCTCTTGGATCAATATGTTTCCCTGAGGCGATGCTTCTCAGCGATGAAAGAAACATTTTATCAAATGTAGATGACATCTTAGCAGCTACAGCAGCAGCTTGTGGGGTTACACCTGATTTTTCTAAATCTGCTTCAAATGAAAGTATGCAGGCTGTTGAGGGTGGTGATTCTAAGTCGCAGTTTCAACAACCCTTAGATGTTAGGCATGTGACTTCAGACTTCAACCCTGTAGCAGCTACAGTAGGAAAGCCACAGAACATTAGTGATATTTCCTTAAATGGGAATCAGGTTAGTGTAAACCTTTCACCAGTACCTACCCTTCAGTCAAAAATGACTCTTGAACAACAGTGCATTGAGACACCTGGTCAAAATATATCAACCACAGCAAATTCAACAGTGGTTGGAACAAGTCATGAAATTCAAGAGCAGAGTTCTGGCACATTTAAGAAACAGTCTGCTACGAATCCTGAATCTGAAGAAGATGGTGAGGTTGCTGTTGAAGGCATGTTAAACACTAATAGAAACCCAGAGTTTGTTTCTAGTGGCAGAAGTTTAAGTGGAGAGAGTGCTACATCAGAGAGTGAGTTTGCCCTAGCAGGTGATGACAGTGGTGTATCTGTGAACTCAACTAGGAGTGCACCTGCACTCTTGGCCATGGCCCAACCTGCGGATGCAATTGGTGTCAAGACTGAAGAAGAAAACCAAGATTTACTACATTTTTCTCTCCAAAAGAAAAAGACTAAAGGGAAAGGACAAAATAAAGAGGAAGAGACTAGTAATCAGAAACAACTAAAAAGGCCTTCCCATAGCAAACGCCAGAATCCAAGAGGAACAGACCCATATTCCCCATATATTCCTCCCTCAGAGAGCTGCCATGATGGTTATCAGCATCAAGAGAAAATGAGACAAAAGATCAAAGAGGTAGAGGAAAAACAGCCAGAGGTCAAAACAGGATTCATTGCTTCTTTCTTAGATTTTCTGAAATCTGGCCCAAAGCAGCAGTTTTCCACTCTCACTGTACGCATGCCTAATAGGACTAAACGACCAGGCACCCAGACTGTTCGTGCATTCTGCCCACCACCACTTGCAAAGATGACGTCATTTGCAGCACCCTTGCCTTTAGTATCTGAAACTGGAGGTAACAGCCCTTCAGAAAAAGTTGATAACGAACTTAAAAACTTGGAACACTTATCTTCATTTTCTTCTGATGAAGAAGATCCTGGAGTGTGCAGTAATGATATTTATAAAAATATCTCTGCTCCCTTAACTGCTTCTGATAAAAAGAAGAAAGGTAAAGTTTTACAATTTAAATTCACAACTAAGGTTTTCTGTTTTACTAGCTGTAGTCTGTATTTTAGAATTTTTATCTCAAAACATTTGCAAATTTCAGGATAAAATGCAAAAGTAGACTATCTTTTAATATTTTTCTTCATAGGAAAGTTCTCGACTTTACGTTCAATGATTCTGGCTTTTCTTGGCTTTTTGTCACAGGCAATGTAATTTACACAATAGGCTATCCGGGCACCTCTGTCTGACACATTTTGATGTACCTAGGGATAACGAAGCATCCTATTCTGGGCCTAGTTATAAACTGACATGTTTTTTGTGATGCCAATTTTATCTACCTATTTACATTAAATTTATAAATGTAGTTACAGTATGTGCAAAATTTGCATTAATAGAATCAAGATAAAGTTTTTAGGTTTTGTACTGGGTTCAATCTTCCAACCAAATATTTTTATGTATATGTTTCACTTTATTCCTAGATTTACAGAGGAAATGTTTAATAAACATTCTTTTATGTAAATAATAAATAGGTTAGTATAAGTTACTATTTTAAGGAACATGGCCAGGAAAATCTTATTTACAGCAATAATACAGCTACCACCTGTGTTACTGGAAATAGCAGTATTATGAGATATGCATTGACTCCAATACTCAGTTAATGTAACTAAGAAGAAATGAATCGTGCTAGCCCTTGAGAGAAGCAGAGCTGGAACCCAGAATCTCTGGTTCAAGAGCCTATATTCCTGCTGGACTCCTTTCTATAAATAGGTGGTGCTTTGTAAGTTAAACTTTGTTTTGTAGTATACTTCTCAGTCACTTTCTGGGCCCACTGCCTTTAACTACTAACGTGATACAAAGCAACTGATATCCCAAATAGTCTGCAGGCATAAGTATGCAATAATGCATTTCTACAGAATTTGTTACTGTAAAAATTGACCTAATAGAAAATAATAGATTGTAAAACCTCTAAGGTGCAGATTCATAGTGCTTGCCAGTTATTGTGTTCCCGCAAGTGTACCCAGAACAAACATTTTTAAAGCTCTCTTCTAAAGCATGAATCTAAAACTAGTTTCTTCTTGATAATTATTAACTTTTTCATGAAAATCCTCTGCGTTACCCCAGTTCTTACCATTAAGTCTCTGCAGTTCTGCCTTGAGTCTGTTTCCTCACCTGCAATAAGTCATTACTAAGTCTGTCATAATAAACTTCTCAGTAGATTCTTTATCTTCAGTGCCCTCCACCTTGTCAGCAGAAAATGCTGATTGTTAGTTCTGCTTTAGGACACTTGCTTGTATGCCATGGGGAATAGACCATGTGAAAACATTTTATTCTTTCTATTTTTATTCTCGTTTATTTTTTCCACTTCCTTTTGTGACAACTGGGTTTACTGAACACCAGTTTCTTTTATAATTGTCTTTGAACTTTCTTTGCTCTGTTCGTATTTTCCTTAGAGCTTTATTAATTTAAATATAAGGCAGAATTACAGAAAAAGGAAGCTATCTTCTCTGCTGGTTCATTCCCCAAATGGTCACAACAGCTAGGGCTGAGCCAGGCAGAAGGCTGCATTCAAGAGCTTTATCCAGTTCCCACAGATGAGTGCAGGGTCTCGGGTACTTGTGCCAACTTCCACTGCTTTCCCAGGCAAATTGTGAAAAGTGGGTTGGAAGTGTAGCAGCCATCAGTGGTACTAGAGCCCAAGGGTGTTAGCCTGGTAGGCGGTAGTTTAACCACATATACCACAGCATCCGCCTGTCTTTTTTTTTAATCCAGTAAATCAAAGACTACTTTCAACATCATTTTGGAGATTGAATGTCTACAAAAGCATTCAGTTTTGTGTTATAATTGTACTGTTTTGTATATGTGTGTGAGTGTGTGTGTGAGTGTGTGTGAGTGAGTGAGTTCCTTTAGGCCAGTAGTGAAGGGTCATGGTTAAAACTTTGGGTTGTGTAAGCAAGTGTTGGCACAGCACTTGAAATGCTATGTAGGGATGAGTTAAGTCACCACTAGCAACACCTGCCTCACATGTGAGTACTGGTTCAAATTTCAGCTACTTCCTTTGATCAAATCCCTGCTCATGTGGCTAGGAAGGCAGAAGATTCTTCCTATGTAAAAGACTCAGATGAAACTCCTGGTTTCTGGCTTTATTCTGACTCAACCCCAACCACTGTAACCATTTGGGGAGTGAACAGGCAGAAGGAAGATCTAGTCTCCGTTTCTCTCTCCCTTCCCTCCCTCCCTCTCTCCATTTATATCTTACTTGTAATTTTACCTTTAAAATAAATAATTGTTTTTTAGAAGATGCTATGTGAGATGCTTGTAGCCCATATTGGAGTACTTAAGGTTCAAGTCCAGGTCTTCATTTCTCTTTGCTGCTTCCAATCCCAGTTTCCTGCTAAATGGTCTAAGTAGTTGAATCTCTGCCACCTGTGGAGAGCTGGATTGAGTTTCAGGCTCCTGGGCTCACTGTGGCCCAGCCCTTGGTACAGAAACAGGCATGTTCATTTTTGTCATTACACTTTATTTGAAAGGCTGGAAACACAGTAAATATTTAGTAAATATTAAGTCAGTTGTGGCTATGTAAAAGAAACTTGGAATATTGAGGTCACCATGAGCTAAAGTTAAGTTGCTGGATTTTATTTTCTGAATTTTGTGACTAGAATTCTGACATGTTACACAATGTCAGAGCCTGGGAGCGGGTGCTGACCTAGCCATTACAATGCTATTTAGACACCTGTATCCCATATTGAAGTGCTTGATTTTGGGTTCAGTGTCCAGTTCTGACTTGTAAGTCCAGCTTCGTGCTAATGCCGTCCCTAGGAGGCAGTAATGAGGCCTCAGCTGGTTGTGTTCCTGCCATCTAAATAGGAGACTTGGATTGAATGCCTCCTGGCTGTGGCCTTGGCACAGACCAGACCTGGCTGTGGTGGCATTTGGGAAAGTGTACTGGTGAATGAAGAAGAAAGCTTACTTGTTCCCTTGCTCATGCTCTTTCTCCCTCGCCCTTCTCAAACAAAACAACAAAATACACACAGGGTCATCTTCCACTAGTAACGGGCCTTTAAATACTTATTAACTAATGACTGCTAGATATTCTTAGCAGATGAAAACATCTTTATTGTCAGCCGCTTCCTCTGTTCATTACCTTTAAAGCATTTAAATGACTAAAGAACATATTTCTTGCTTTAAAATAATAATACTTTTTAGTAAAAACTGTGTGTGAAATAAAAATTACTTTCCATTATAGGAATTGGATTAATGAAAATGCACTGGGACTTTATTTAAGATCAGCAGCAACTAAGCACTAGGATGATTTTTTGACATGGTGGTACAGTTGTTTAACAGCCTGATTTCTGTATTAAAATGACTAGTGGCTTAGAGAGAGGGAAAAACCTGCTGATTCTCCAAATTAGAAATGGTTACTATTATCATTTCAGATGTCTTTCTGTTGAATTCCAAGTGTAGTATAAAATTGTTCTCACAACTACAAAAATGTTTTTGAATCACTGTGAATAGCAATTAACATTGGAGTTATGCTAGCAAACTAGTTACGGAGCCAGTGTAATGGAGTGGCAGACTAACCAACTAGCATGTCCTATTGTTGTGTTGGTATGAGTCCTCACTGCCTGCTTTTTGAGCTTACTTTCTGCTGATGCATCATGGCAATGCAACATGACAGCTTAAGTACTTGAACCCCTGTTCCTGGCTTGGCCTGGCCCAGCCTTTGCCTTTCAGATAAATAAATAACCAAATAAATAAGTCTTAGAAACAGTTGAGTTAGTGGTCAGTTTCTCCAAAATGGAAGTTATGCTTAAAGTAGAGCACTCAGCTTCTGCTTAAGGCAGCCATAAGTATGCAGGGAAAATTCTTGAGGATGCATAGCTAAAATTCAGATCTCAAGAATATAATGAGACAGTGACAACAGAACTTCCTTCCTTTCCATTTGTTTGATCTTTGTGGATGAAATACACCTGAAGTTAAATGTATTGAAAACTTAAAGAATGTGGACCTCAAATGTAGGAGTCCTATAGTCTGTAGTTTCTGAAGATTTCTTTAGAAATTTAAGATCTTGCTTTTGGTTTAATCTTGTAGCTTCTTGGAGTGGTCCTATTGCTGCAGTTAATCTGCTGCTTCAGATGCCCACATCCCTTTTCAGAATGCCAAGGTTCAAGTCCTGTTTCCTGTCCACTTTCCTGCTAACACTTCCTGGAGGTAGCAGATTTATGTGCTCAAGTGTTGGACCTCTGCTACCCGCGTGCTATCATGAAGTTCTCATCATGGAACCTCTGAGCGCCTAACCCATGCCTGGCCACTCCAGGCATCTGGGGAATAGACCAGCAGGCAGAGAAATTCTCTCTCTCTTCCTCTCCCTCTCTCCCCCTTTCCGTCTCTCTGTCACTTTGCCTTTCAAGTAGACAAAAATAAGAAATATGAGCATGTTTTGAAAGTTGTAGCTCCTTGCCTCTGAAATGTATTTGGTGTTATGAAATGTTGAAGGGATTTAGCATCTTCTCCTAATGGGAATGTTTGCTTATTTAAATACATTTTATTGTTCAGTTCATTTTTCCATATTTATATGAAATATTACTTTTGGTAACTGAATTCTCGTGTTCATTGGTGTGTTTGTTTATGGGTGCTCCCCCCGCCTTATTTGTCTAGTAATCTATATGGCAGTTGGCTTCTGTAAATGTTACTTTTTAAATGGCTCTTTTCGTTATTGTTCTTGGAGTTCTCTCCAGATGAAATCAGCATGTCAAATTTTATTAAATCTCTTTGGACGATTATTACAACATTAAGGATTTAATAAATGGATACTAATGATATGTGAACAGGTGTAGTGAAACTACAAGCATTAATCTAAACCTGGTTAACAGCTGAGAGAAGAGAGCATTTTCTCCCATCCACTGGTTCAATGGCAAGTGTTCTGTAGCAACCAGTGTTGGGCTAAGCTGAAGCCAGGATCCCAGAATTCAGTCTGCCAGGTACGTAGCAGGGAGCCAAGCCATCTCATGCTTTCTCCCATGGGAAGCAGTAGCAATAAGGTAGAATCGAAAACAGAGCCAGGTGTTGAGCCCTAGTACACTGATACAGAATGGAACCTTCACAAGCTGAGACGTGAAATACCCACCCCTTATTTCTCTTTTACTCTTAGTTCTTTCCTCCATCTTTTTTTGGTATAATTTAATATTTCCTTTCTGGCCTCTTAAGTTTTTTTTTTTTTCTCTAACATATCATTTAAACATTTTCTAAACCACACTGTGGCATATCTCACTGCTTTCAGTCCTCTTGACTTGATGTTTTAAATTAGTTTTTTTTTTTAAAAAAAAAAAGATTATTTATATTGGAAAGTCAGATTTACACAGAGAAGGGAGTCAGAGAGATAGATTTTTCATCCACTGGCTCACTCCCCAAGTGGTCACAATGGCTGAAAATAAGTCGATCTGAAGCCAATAACCAGGATCCCCTTCTGGGTCTCCCATGTGGGTGCAGAGGCCTAAGGCCCTGGACTGTCCTTGACTGTTCTCCCAACCACAAGCAGGGAGCAGAAGGGAAGTGGAGCAGCTGAGACTTGAACTGACACCCAAATCGTATCCCAGGGCAAGCAAGGCAAGAAGTTAGCCACTAGACTACTGTGCTGGGCCCTTAAATTGGTTTCCATTTATTTTTGTCTCCTTTTAAACTTAAGAGGACAGCTAGATGAGATCATCTGCTATTGGTTTACTAACCAAAGTGCCTCAGTGGCCAGGGGAGGGCCTGGTTGGAGTCAGGAGCCAGGAACATTGTCCCCCAGCTCTCCCACAGAGGTGGAGGATCCAGACATCTGGGCCATCTTCCACAGCATTTCCAGGTAGCATTAGCAGAGAGCTGGAGCAGAAACAGAGCTGTTAACTCTTCATTGGCACACCTATACTGGGTGTTATTATTGCAAGCCACGGTTTAATAAACTGCTCCACAATGCTGACCCCAGTGTCAGGTTTTATAAGTATTCCATGGTGGCATAATTCCTAATAAATTTTACCTGTTAATATACAGACCTTTGTATCCAGTTTGTAGCATAAGATTTCACACTGAATTATATTAAAAATATTTATGTGCACTGTGGAGGTACATACTATCTGATTTACTTTACAGTTCTTCAGCAAATATAAAAGCATAGACGAAACAAGTATACCATAATGTATGAGGTTATCAGTGCTGGTAATGGAATGTGAAGATTTGCTATTCTTTACTTTTGTGTATGCTTAAATTTTTTAGACTAATTAAAAGTTTTTAAAATCCTCATTATGGGCCTGCCATGGTAGCCTAGTAAGTCCTTGCTTTACATGCGCCAGGACACATAATCCCGGCAGCCCTTTTCCCTTCTAGCTCCCTGCTTGTGGCCTGAGAAAGCAGCTGAGGATGGTGCCAAAGCCTTGGGACCCTCCACCTGTGTGGGAGACCCAAAAGAGGCTCCTGGCTTCAGATTGGTGTAGCTCTGACCGTTGCAGCTGCTTGGGGAGTGAATCAATGCATGAAAGATCTTCCTCTGGGCCCGGCGCAGTGGCGCAAGTGGTTGGGGTCCTCGCCTTGCACGCCCGGGATCCCATATGGGCGCCGGTTCTAATCCCGGCAGCCCCGCTTCCCTTCCAGCTCCCTGCTTGTGGCCCGGGAAGGCAGTCGAGGACGCCCCAAAGCTTTGGGACCCTGCGCCCGCGTGGGAGACCCCTGGAAGAGGCTCCTAGCTTCGGATCGGCATAGCATCGGGCCATTGCGCTCACTTGGGGAGTGAATCATCGGACGGAAGATCTTCCTCTCTGTCTCTCATCTCTGTATATCTGCCTTTCCAATAGAAAAATAATAAAAATAAATCTTTAAAAAAAAAAAGATCTTCCTCTTTGTATATCTGACTTTCCAATAAAGATAAAATAAGTCTTTAAAAAATCCTCTCTATTCCCTATTTACTTTTTTTTTTAAAAGAATTGTTTATTTTTATTGCAACGTCAGATATACAGAGGAGGAGAGACAGAGAGGAAGATCTTCCGTCCGATGGTTCACTCCCCAAGTGACCACAATGACTAGTGCTATGCCAATCTTAAGCCAGGAGCCCAGGGCCTTTTCTGGCTCTCCCATCAGGGTGCAGGGTCCCAAGGCTTTGGGCCGTTCTTGACTGCTTTCCCAGGCCACAAGCAGGGAGCTTGCTGGGAAGCAGTGTAGTAGGGGCACGAACCATTGCCCATATGGGATCCCTGTGGTTGAAAGGCAAGGATTTGGGCCCTGCACGGTGGCCTAGTGGCTAAAGCCTTCTCCTTGAACACGCTGGGATCCCACATTGGCACCGGTTTTAATCCCAGCAGCTCCACTTCCCATCCAGCTCCTTGCTTGTGACCTGAGAAAGCACTGAAGGATGGCTCAAAGCTTTGGGACCCTGCCCCCACGTGGGAGACCTGGAGGATGTTTCTGGCTCCCTTCTTCTGATCAGGGCAATACAGGCCATTGCGCTCACTTGGGGAGTGAATCATCAGATGCAAGATCTTCCTCTCTCCAATAAAAATAAATAAATCTTTTTTAGAAAGAAATAAGGAAAACATTAAAAAAAAAAAAAGGCAAAGATTTAGCTACTAGGTTATCACACTGGGACCTGAAAGGCAGATTTACAGAGAGAAACAGACAGGAAGAGGGCCTCTTTCCTCCTGAGCCTCTGATAATACTCATTCATATATATTGGGAATATATATATATAGAGAGAGAGAGACAGTGAGTTTGGTTTTCATTTGAAAGGCAGATAATATAGAGAGGAGGAACGGAGAGATAGGACTTCATCCTCTGGTTTATCCCCAGATGGCCACAAAGCCTGGAGCTGAGTCAGTCTGATGCCAGGAGCCCATTTTGGGTTTCCCACAAAGTTGCAGGAGCCCAAGGACTTCAGGCAGCCTCCGATGCTTTCCCAGACTGTAAGCAGGTAACTGGATGGGAAGTTGAGAGCCTGGTTGTAGAGCCAGTGCACTTATGCAATCTTGGGCTACAGGTTGCAGAATTACACTGTTGAGACTATGCACCCTGTTGAAAGTATTTGTGTTTATATCAAATAATTTTTGATGTGTCATTTTCTCTCGGGTTCTGGTTTTGATGCTGGATTAATACTGGCCTTATGATATGTGTTGGGAAGCATTTTGGGAGTTTATGAAGTTTTAGGCTTTCTTTGAATGTGATAGAATGTACTACTAGTTTTCTTTTATAAAATCTATTTTAATGAGTTTATTCTCTTCACTAAATAAAGGTCTTTTCAGATTGTTCATTGTCCTTGCTTGTACTCTTTCTAGCTAGTTTTTCATTCGGCTTACTTAACCTGTTGGTCTACAGTTTTCACAGTATTACTTTTTATTCCTCCCTATTTTGAAAGCTTCTGTTACCGTTTCAAACTCTGGAGAGTGCTCTCTTCTCCCATTCTTCATACCACCAATATGCTAACCCTTCTAATATCTTTTATGTTTCTGGTTTTAAAAAATACATTAAAGACAGGGACAGAGAGGAGAGAGGAAGAAAGATCTTCCATCTACTGATTCACTCCCTAAAACGCAACGAAAGCTAGCAGTGGGTTACTGAAGTCAGGAGGCAGAAGGCTTCTTTGAGGTCTCCCATGTGGGTGCAGGGGCCCAGGTACTTGGGCCACCTTCTGCTGCTTTGCCAGGTGCATTACATGGAGCCGGGTTGGAAGTTGAGCTGCCAGGAGTCCAGTCCATGTGATTAAGGGGTGCTAGTATTGGAGGTGGCCACTTACTATGGTATATACCACAATTCCAGCCGCTTGTCTTCCTTTTTCAAAACGTATTTTTGGGGCTCAGCGTGGTAGCCTAGCAGCTAAAGTCCTTGCCTTGAACACTGCAGGATCCCATACGGGTGCAGGTTCTAATCCCGGCAGTCCCACTTCCCATCCAGCTCCCTGCTTGTGGCCTGGGAAAGCAGTCGAGGACGGCCCAAAGCCTTGGGACCCTGCACCCACTTGGGAGACCCTGAAGAGGTTCCAGGCTCCTAGCTGTTATGGCTGTCTGGGGAGTGATTCAGGTGACAGAAGATCTTCCTCTTTGTTTCTCCTCCTCCCTGTATATCTGTTTTTTCAATAAAATTAAATAAATCTTTTTTTTTTTTTTTTTTTTTTAAGTATCTGTGTTCTATTTAGGTGGAGCCGTTTGGAAGGTTAGGTAGCAGATGCAGCAGTCTCCTTGTCCTCCATGTTCAATTATAATATTTTTCGGTGTTTGAAATTAGCAGTCATGTTTTAAATTTCTTTTTATTTATTTATTTTTATTATTATTATTTTAAGATTTATTATTTATTGGAAAGTCATATATACAGAGAGGAGGAGAGACAGAGAGGAAGATCTTCTGTCCAATGATTCACTCCCCAAGTGAGCACGAAGGCCGGGATCCCGGCACGTTCAAGGCGAGGACTTTAGCTGCTAGGCCACGCTGCTGGGCCCTAAATTCCTTTGAGTTTTTTCTTTTCAACCAGCTTGATTGTAAAAATAACCAAATATTTTTAAGTAGTTGAAGTTTTACTTGAAACAAGTAATTACTCATTTGTATTAATGGTTTGTATTTGCTTCATTTAGTTGCAGAAGCTGGACAGGTAGGAACTACTACTAGCCCAACTGCCAATACTACTGGTCAGACTCCTAGTTCCTCTGCCACTGTTAAACAAGATTGTCTCCATTCTACTTCATCTGCAATAAATACCCTGGAGAACGCAAACCCTGCAGAACCCTCAAAGTCCATTGAACGTGATGGTCTTCCTTCAGACCAGTTTGCAAAGGGACAAGACGCTGTTGCCATACAAGGTTTTACTGACGACGAAAATGCAGAAAGTGGAGGAGAAGGCCAATACAGAGAGCGTGACGAATTTGTGGTCAAGATAGAAGACATAGATGCATTTAAGGTGATGTGAATATTTACAGGGGTGAAGATGTAGTTCTTACGATAGCCTTCATGTTGACTTCAGTAGCGCATAGCCAGCTGTGTATCAGAAAAGTTAGACTTTACAGTTATCTTACATTATGAGTTTTTCATAAAATCAGACTAATAGATGTCATGTTGAATATTTTGAAAATGAAGTAATGAAAAATAATCTTACCTGTTTTAATTTTATGTATTTCTAACTAATAAGTTGCACTTACATGGTGGTACATGGTAGAAGTTTTAAAATGTGAATTCTATGCAAGGCTGGTAATTCATGTGATTATGAGCAGGTTGCAGAAAATGATTATTTATATAATTTAAAAATACAAAGAACAATAATTAGACTATGGTTATGTAAGGTAGAATTAGACTTACTTTCATAATTTCAGTAGAACCAGAAGACTGCTATAATTTCATACCAAGTTTCAGCTGTTTTTAACTTAATCTAATCTATTTTCAGCATTTTTTTGTTTGTTATTGTCCTTTTCCCCTCAAAAAGGACATTATAACATGCAAATTATCTGGAAGTATTTAATCAGGGACTGTGCCAATTTAACCAGCTGCTAGGGATTGTAAGAAGAATTCAGTTTGAGGTTAAGAGATTAAATTGTGCTGGGTGGATCTTAAAAGATTTCTGTCAGTGCTAAGAGCCAATTAAAATAAAATGTAATGCTAATTTTTATAAGTGTAATTAATTCTCCTTATTACAGGAGGCTTTAAAAACAGGAAAAGAACCTCCAGCTATTTGGAAAGTACAAAAAGCTTTATTGCAGAAATTTGTTCCTGAAATTCGCGATGGCCAGAGAGAGTTTGCTGCCACTAATAGTGTAAGTAAAACGCTTTTTTACATCAGTCTTTGTATATTTTGACAATGATTCTGAGGGAAATACAGAGTGCATTAAGCAAATTACAGAGTAGATAGTTCACTCACAGTCTGATTTTAAAATAATAGCTAAAATACCAGCTATTTGATATTAAACCAATTTATCCTGTTACTCTATGTTACATTTATTTACATGACAAAAAATAGTATTAGACTGTGAAGTGTTGAACTGACTCAGAGACTTGCACACTGATTTTCTGCTGGTGAGGTATAGTGATTTTCCAGGAGAAGTACTTTTTGGTGCTTGCATAGATAGCAGTTCTGGGGTTTTGAGTATCTACTAGCAATGGGTTGCTTCTATTGTTCTGTGAGCTTACAATCAGAAATGCATCTGGAATTGTTTTAATTCAGTGTAAAAGTAAGCTGACCAGAACTTTGTTTTGGGACACTTAAAAGACGGCTGCGCAATAGTGGAGCAACAGAAGAGTATTTATGTACACATTATATAATTATGTAATTCAAAATATCTTTTTACTTAGTATCTTGGATATTTTGGTGATGCAAAGACTAAATACAAAAGGATATATGTGAAGTTCATTGAAAATGCAAACAAGAAGGAATATGTCAGAGTGTGTTCCAAAAAGCCAAGAAATAAGCCTTCACAAATTGTCAGGTATTTGTTTCCATTATGTAATGTTTTTGTGCATATAAATGCTTATCATTTGCAGTGTCATTGTACAAAGGGTGACAGCAGTTGACATGACTGGGTTTGCTTTGTTTAACTTGATGAGAATTTAGTTCCTAATACAGTGATTCCTCTGGAAGGAATGTGCTGGGCACTCTGAAGGACAAATGTCCTTTCCTTCCCAGAGCTGTTTTGTGTCATCCTAATAAATAGTGGAGGGGAAAAAAAAGCTTTTAGAGCTAAAAGTTTGAGTGCAGTTCTTTGTGACATAATTTTTCAAAAGTCCCCTTTTCCCTTTATGAAAAAAATCATGGAATATGGTGTTTAAAATGAGATATTTCTAACAAAAGCAATGTGTGATACGTACATCACTGGGCAAGTATACAAAAGAATAATCATTTATTAATATGATTGGTTTTCTAATGTATGAATCTGCATAATAATTGACCTGATCTTATGATCTGTTTAGGAAAGTGAATATGACCCCTAGGTATTTTTAGTCTAATACCAGACCCATCTGGCTTATTTAAGACCCCCACTTATGGGAAACAGCTCACCTTATTTTTGTGATGAGATTCTACCCACTCCAGTGCCCAGACCCAGTGTAGAGCAAAGAGGTGGCTCAAGGAGAGATGCCTCGTGGCACTACTGAGGGTCAACACTGGTGTGACTGTCTAGGGTTTATCACAGTATTTCCTTAAACCCACAGGTCATGTACAGAGAGTATAGCCTGGGTACTCTTTGGAAAATCAGTTCAGAAAAGAAGAGGAAGATTGAGAGGGGAAATAGTTGAATATTGAATGCCAGTCATTAAAGAATATATTTCCAGAAGATCTCATAAAAATCAGGATTGAGACTTCAACTTTATTTTGCTGGTGCCTGGGAATAGTAGTTAACACTTTCTTCCCCAGTGATTCTAATTTTTCTGAGTTATTTAGTTTGACAAAATTTCAGTGTGTTAATGAAGTTTGTTTATAACATTGCAGAACTGTTCAGGCTAAGCCAAGTAGTAGCAATAAAACTTCTGATCCTCCAACAACAAAAACTACATCTACAAAAGCCCCTTCCACGAAACCCAAAGTTAAACAGGCCAAAGTAAAGGCTGAGCCGCCACCAAAGAAACGGAAGAAATGGAAAGAAGAATTTTCGTCATCCCAGTCTGACTCATCTCCTGAGATTCATTCTAGTAGTAGTGATGATGAGGGTGAGTTCTGCATGAGACGTTTGCCTTGGGAACTTTAGATAACTTCCCGTGAATGCAGAGCAGCAGTGATGCTGACATTGCAAGGGATCTGTCTGCCCAGTGAGTTCTGCTGAGGCTTTTATGAATAGAAATGCCCATGTGGCAGAATCAGCTTAACACAGTTGACCCACACATACAGCCTTCTAAAGTAGAAATGACAGGACACAGCTCTGAGTCTTAGATTTCGTAGTGCTGATTATCTCACCTTTTTGAATCAGAACATGGTAGGTGAGGTTTATACTTCTGTGTTTATGCTAGAGCAAAATGGTAAACAAGCCTCAGCAGCAGCTACTCAAACTGTAATTAATGTAACATAGTAGCATAATAATGTATACTATGTATACATTTCATATGTAATACTGCGGTTATAAAATGAAAAGGTTGGGGCCGACATGGTGGCATATCAGGCTAAGCGTCCATCTGTGGCACCAATACCCCAAAGGGGCACTGGTTCAAGTTCCTGCTGCTTCGCTTCCTATCCAGCTCCCGCCTGTGGCCTGGGAAAGCAGCGGAAGCTGGCCCAAGTCCTTGGGCCCCTGCATTCACGTAGGAGACCTGGAAGAAACTCCTAGCTGCCTGCTTCGCATCAGCTCAACTCTGACCATTGCAGCTTTTTGGGGAGTGAACCAGCGGATGGAAGATGTCTCTCATGTCTCTCCTTCTCCCTCTCTCTAATCTGCCTTTCCAATAAAAATAAATAAATCTTTCCCCCCTCAAAAATGAGAAGGTTGCAATACTTGTCACATTTTTCTGACCTTAAGCTGATCAGTAGTCTAAAAAGCGCTTATATATCTATTGATATTTAGTGTATTAAAAGTTAGAAGGGATATTATTAAATACAAGACTACACCATACTCTATTAGCCATCAAAGCAAAATGTGTGGTACATGCAGTAAGTTTCTGTCAATTCAATAATCAGCTACTTCAGAATTTGACTAACCTGGGGACAAAGTCTGACCCACACTTTGTTTTTGTAAATAAAGTTTTTGAGACATAACCTCATAAATCCAGTTACATCTTTCCATATAGTTTTCCCACTACAGTGAAACATCTGATAATTACTACAGAAATTATGTGACAAGCACATTCTGAAATAATTACCATATTATTTTTTTAGAAGCTTGTTAGCTGAGCTTTATTATTATGGAGCATTAAGTTGAAGATCAAAAAAACAAAAAAGATGGGATCAGAGGGTCTCATGTCTGCCAAGCCTAGGCAAAACAGCTTGTGACCCATGAGCAATAGAGAACCTTTGCAAGAATTTAAATAAAAGGACAACTCTTGACATTTGATCTTGGATTACAAGATACAATACAGGCTTGAGTCATAACAAGGATGGAAGAAGGGAACAAATAGGGTGGCACCTTGGCAGAACATAAATGGTTAAATATTTGGGAAATGAGTGAAGTGAATGTCCAGGATGGTTTTACAGGTTACTTGATTAAAAACATAACAGAAGTAATTCAGTGATAAGACTACTGTGAATGCATGACTTTCAAAAACTGCTTGGGATGGTTGTCTTGAAATGTACATATCAGCGCAGGTGTTTGACACATCAGGCCCACATCCTACATTGTAGTGCCTGGGTTTGAATCCTGCCTCCACTTCCACTTTAACCTGCCATTGCATAGCCAGGAGGCAATAAGTAATGACTCCACTGCTAGGGTGCTTTCCCCTTTCATGGCCAATCCTGATTGAGTTCCTAGCTCCCAGCTTTGTTCACCCTCACTGCTGGTTGTTACTGGCGTTTGGAGAGTAAACCAGTAGTTAGAGGATCTCTCTCAGCCTTTCAAATACATTTTCAAAAGTGTACACGTTTGTCAAATGGTTAAGATTCCAGCAGCTCCTATTGGAGGGCCTGGGTTCAAGTCCTGGCTCTGCTCATGATTCCGGCTTCCTGCTGTGGTGTGCCCTGATGGGCAAGAGGTAATGTTACAGGTAGTTGGGTCTCTGGCATACATGTGAGAAACCTTGATTGAATTGTAAGTTCCCAGCTTGGGTCTGGTCCCACATCAGCCTTTGTGGAATAGACCAGCAGATGGGGGAGTCTCTGTCTCTATCTCGTTTCTTTCAAATAAATAAAAATTTTAAGGTGTACACACCAGATTTTATGTGGCAATTTGTTTCTTTAAGGCATAGATTAAAGGCTGTATATATAATGTTTGCAGTTAATAGTCCTGCATACTGCTTACAGAATAGAGGCATTTTGGTTCTATATATACACTGCTTTCCTCAAAAAAAAATTTTTCCTCCCCTTGGTGACTTGAGTTGCTACTAAGTGTCATTAGTACTTAAAGACATATATTTCATGCTTTTTATAAAGCATTATTGCTGATGAATAAAGATTTATAGGCTCCTAGTGTTCATATTTTGTGTTTCTATTCCTACAACTTCATTCAGATTCCAAATCTTTATATGGGCTAAATTTGATTATTTACTAAACTAACAAGGCAAATTAAAAAAAATACATTTAAAATGAAACTATTAGTTTTTAGATAATTAAATCTTCTAAAACTACAGTATTTGTGAGATAAGTGGCATCTCCTTCTAAATTTGTTTTTGAATGTTATTTTGGCTAAAACATTAAAAACAAGTTTTGTATAGGTATATAGTTGGGGAAGGGAAGAATAAAGAGTATTGCTTCTCAAGTGATTAAAGAATGTTTTGTAAAGATTTATTAATTTTTTTTTTTTAATTTGAGGATCAAAGTTACAGAGAAGATGAGATAGATCTTCCATCCACTGGTTTGCTCTCCAAATGGCCACATTGGCCGGAGCTGAGCCGATCCACAGCCAGGAGCTTCTTGTGGATCCTATGTGGATTCAGGGGTTCAAGGCCTTGGGCTACCTTCTGCTGCCTTCCCAGGCCATCAGCAACTGGACTGAAAGAGCAGTAGGGACAAGCACCCTGTGCACAAAAGGGATACCAGCACTGCAGGTGGTGAATTAACTTACTACACCCCTGCACTTTCTTCATTTCCTTTGATGGATAAAAGTTTTAAGTTATAATTAAGGCCAGTTTTTTCCCCTTAATTTGCTTATGCTTTTATTTTTTGTTTATTTTTGTCACAGAATCCATTACCAAACCCAAGATTATGAACATTTATCTACTTTCTTTGAAGGGTCTTAAGAGTTTATACCTCTTAGCTCAGGTGTTGTATTTCACTATGCAGTGTTAAAGGATGACATTAATGCCACTCTAATCTCATCATTCATCGGCTCTTGGGGATGAGCCGATCCACAGCCAGGAGTTTCTTATGGATCTTATCATTCAATTTTTTCAGGCTCTTGGGGTAGGGAAAGTGTGTAACACTTTCCAGAGTTCTAATTTTTTATTTGAAACCTCAGATTTTATCAGTAATGATAAATATTGCTAGTAGACAGGTTCACTTCAATCGTTTTAAGAAAACATTTGGAAAACACCCAAATCTAAATATAGTGTATTTGTAAGTCATTCTTTAAAATAAAAAAGATATTACTCTGGTATCGGCATAGTAGGCTAAACTACAGCCTGTATCATGGTGCCTCTATCATGGTCCTGGCTGCTCCACTCCCTACTAGTGGCCTGCTAAGTTGAGCAGAGAATGGCTCAAGTCCCAAAGCCTTGGGACCCTGCACCCACATGGGACACCTGGTAGAAGCTCCTGAGTCTTGGCTTTGGTTCGGTGCAGCTACAGCCATTGAGGCGATTTGGGGAGTGAACCAGCAGATGTAAAACTTGTTTCTCCTTTTGTCTGGCTATCTTGCAAATAAAGATAAAATAAATCTCAATAAAAAATTAAAAGGTCCATTTTTCAACTTGTAACTAAGTTTTCTTGGTGATAATTAGCCCGTTTGTACTGCACACAAAAAAAAGATATCCCGAAAGTAGAGATGTAGATTGGGTGTTCAGCTTAGCACTTGACACTTCAATCCCAGGTTAGGGTAGGTGGGTGTAATTCCTGGCTATAACTCTTGGCTCCAGCTTCCTGAGCCAGTGCAGATCTTGGCAGTCAGTTGTGATGGTTCATGTGGTTGGGTTTCTGCAGAGACCCAACTATTTAGAAACTTTTTAAAAGTATATTAATGGGGCCCGGTGGTGTGGCCTAGCAGCTAACGTGCTCGCCTTGAACGCCCCGGGATCCCATATGGGCACCGGTTCTAATCCCAGCAGCTCCACTTCCCATCCAGCTCCCTGCTTGTGGCCTGGAAAAGCAGTCGATGACGGCCCAAACCCCCTTTGGACCCTGCACCCCTGTGGGATACCTGGAAGAAGTTCCTGGCTCCTGGCTTCGGATCGGCATAGCATTGGCCGTTGTGCTCACTTGGGGAGTGAATCCTTGGATGGAAGATCTTCCTCTCTGTCTCTCCTCTCTATATCTGACTTTCCAATTTAAAAAAAAAGTATATTAATGGAAATAATTTTGCTGCCTCATCAAGGTCTATTTTTTCATTTACTTATATATTTATTTGCAAGAGAAACCAAAAGTGTGTTTCCATGCCCTTGATGCCCACAATGACGGGCTGAGCCGGGCTACTGCCAGGAGTCTGAACAATCCAGATCTCCCATGTCAGGAACCTGGAACCTTGCTGTGCCTCGGTGTCTGGTACCTTCCAGGACGTGCGTCAGTAGAAAACAAGTTGAAAGTGGCAACAGGGTTTGAATCTAGGCACTCTGATAGGAGATGCATGTACCCCAAGGTGCATCAGATGCTGCACCTCATGGCTGAACAAAGCATTCTGCAGTGAAAATGGCCTTTTTTACAAATGCATGCCAGTGATATGACAGGCATAGCAGTATGTACCTATAGTTATGCAATTTTGTTTCAGTGGCTTCATACCAACTGAGGCATCAGTAATTTTATCTAATATTCCTTTTACAAATATCCATATAGAAAATGATACATAGCATGTTAACAATATGAATACCCTCCTTTTTAAAAAAAAAAAAGATTTATTTATTGGAAAGTCAGATATACAGAGAGGAGGAGGAGAGGCAGAGAGGAAGATCTGTCCGATGATTCACTCCCCAGGTGAGCGCAACAGCTGATGCTATGCTGATCTGAAGCCAGGATCCAGGAACTAAAGGGTATTCCACACTGGTGCAGGGTCCCAAAGCTTTGGGCCATCCTCAACTGCTTTCCCAGGCCACAAGCAGGGAGCTGGATGGGAAGTGGAGCTGCTGGGATTAGAACCGGTGCCCATATGGGATCCCAGGGCGTTCAAGGCGAGGACTTTAGCCACTAGGCCACACCGCCGACTCCAATATGAATATCTTGACATCAAAGATCATGTCTACAGCCATACCACCCCAGATGCTCCTCATCTTGTGTAATATTGGAAGCTAAGCAGGGTCGGGCCTGGTAGTACTTGGATTGGAGACATCCAAGATCATTCCAAGGATTCTACACTATACAGCTATAACTTAGCAGTGTTACAATAGTTCTGTGAATGCATAAATACTATTACTACTAAGGATGTTCTTTTTTGAGAGGTAGGTGTATAAAGTGGGAGCTCCCATCCAGACTGTTTTGCTCCTCAAATTCCTATACCCCTATACAACACCCAGGGTGAAAGCTATCCAGGTCTCCCATTGGGTGGCAGGAACCAAATGATTTGAACCGTCCATCAGTGCTGCCCTGGGGTCTCCTTGTTTTGTTTTTGTTTTTGTTTTTGTTTTTTTCCTCTGAAGGCATAATTATAATTAAAACAGGAGAGACAGAAATATCTTTCATCTGCTCATTCACTCCCCAAATGGCTATTGTAGCTGGGCTGATCTGAAGCCAGTTCTTACAGGTCTCTCACGTTCATGCAGGTGCTCCAGACAGGGACCTAACCTGCTATGTCATAGCGCTGGGCCCCTACCAGGGTCTACTGTTGGCAGGAAGCTGGACTCAGGAGCCAAAGCTGTATGTTGAGTCTTGCACACTAATAGATGCAGGAGTCTTCCCCATTAGGCTAAATTTTGACTGCTTTTGGATAAACTTCCAATCTTGTAGATTTTTTTTCTTGAGAAATTCTTGTTATTTGAAAGATGGAGGGACAGAGGCCTTTCATCCACTGATTGAGTACACCAAATGTAGCCTCCTCTAATTCTTGAAATTTCCTCTGTTAATGAGATAGTTTTCCATTTGAAAATATGCCATAGATAGGTTCCAGTATGGTAGCCTAGTGGCTAAAGTCTTCTCCTTGAACGTGCTGGGATCCCATGTGGGTGCTGGTTCTAATCCCCGCGGCCCCACTTCCAATCCAACTCCCTGTTGTGGCCTGGGAAAGCAGTTGAGGACAGCCCAAAGCCTTGGGACCCTGCACACACGTGGGAGACCTGGAAGATGCTCCTGACTGGATCGCTGCAGTTCTGGCCCTTGGCGGCTGCTTGGGGAGCGATTCAGCGGAGAGATCTTCCTCTCTGTCTCTCTTGCTCTCTGTACATTGGATGTCTTGTGGTTTCTTTATTGTTTCTGCAGAGAAAAACCATCCAAGCAGTGTATTATGACCTATCCACGATACAGATTAAGGGAAGAGAAGTATGTAGCTGTCTAGCCTGCATCTCCAGTGCTGGGCTGGCTGGGGCTCAGAGTCACCCAAGAAGCCTTTTTAACATTTAACTTTTTTAAAAAAGATTTATTTGCTTATTTGAAAGGCAGAATTTCAGAAGGAAAGTCAAAGAAATTAGTAGAGATAGAGATAGAATTTCCATCAGCTGCTTCACTCCTCGAATGGCCTCAATGGGTGAGAGCTGAGTGAGGTTGAAACCAGGAGACTGGAGTTCCATGCACGTCTCCCTCATGGGTGTACGTCCCAAGTGTTTGGATCATTCCCTGCTGACGTCCAGGGGGCAGCCAGGACTCACCAGTGCTCGTGTGTGACTCCGGCGTCTTAGCTTATACCACAATCCCAGTCTCTATAAGTTTTTATTTTAAGTTTCTTCACGACTGTTGTCCATCTGTCACTATCTGACTCATTGAGTACAGAAATCTAGTACCTCATTGTGGAAAGCTCTTCAGTCATGCTGATGTGCAAAGCGCTATGAGAATCTGTCCTAGGGTTTGTTTTTTAGGGTTTTTGTTCTTGTTCAGATAAAAAGCATGAAATCATTTTTCATCTGTTTGTAGCCTCTTGTAATGAAGTTTTTTTTAAGTTGTCAATAAGGAAAATTTAATTTTCATTTCTTCTCTCTCCCAGAATTTGATCCACCAGCTCCCTTTGTCACTCGGTTTTTGAACACAAGAGCAATGAAGGAAACCTTTAAAAGTTACATGGAATTGCTTGTCAGCATTGCCTTGGATCCTGACACGATGCAAGCCTTAGAGAAGAGCAATGGTACAGTCTGCCTAATAGCACTTCAGCATTTTCTAAGTTTTCTAATCCTTGCCAGTTACACATTTTTGTATAAAATATACCTGTAAACAATCCATTAATTTCCCAACGGTCTGATTCTAGAAAATAGTCATATGTTTTGTCATACATTTTCTAAATATTTGAGCATCTTTGTATTGAATATCTTTTTATGGCTTTCTTCTCTAGAGAAAATTATGTAACTATTTGCCATTTTCTTTCAGTTCTACAATCTATATCATCCTCATAGTATTTTACTAAATATGAATTACATGGAAGGTCTGTATGTCAATATATTCTCTTTTCCAATAATTGCAAAAATGGATGAGATAACAATATTAAGATTATATACTTTTTTTTAGTAAAAAGTAATATTGTGGAGAAATTATTTTATAGTTAATAATGTTAAAATAATACATACATTGAGCCATGCCTATTAATATTACTTTCATAATTTTTCCTTATAGCAAAATAGGGTCAAATTGATATCTGGCAATTCATAGATCTAATTGCCAAGGTTTTCTAATTTCTAATCCAGTGTTTTTCTTACTGTGTAGTCAAAGACAGTTAACTATGTATCATGTGGAACTTACCAGCACTTGGGATATAACGTAGCTAAAACATTTATTTTGTAGACTGAGGTTCACAAACAGATTAGATGTGTTTCTTCCAAGTTATAGAATATGTTACAAATCAAAGATCAATCTAGTTAATGCCCCAGGTCAACACTTTGGTTAGTAGTTGTTTTCCCTGACAATGAAAACTCTTTGTATAAAAATATATACATATTTGTAAGTTATTTCTGAATAGTTTTAGTTTGAAGGATTTTTCTTTGTCATTTCTTATCAGTGTTTTCTGATTTTTTTCCCATTTAATAGAAATGAGACACATTTAGGTGGTTACATTTCAAAATAATTCACAAATGTTTAAAGTTTGTTTTGTAATATGAAAATGTATTATTTGAGTAGACTGTCATGTGTGGCTCAGCAATATTAAAAAGCGTTGCTCCTTTTTATTCAATTAGAATGGGTGTCCTTTCCCAGCTTACTTTGCTTATATTTATGTATTTCAGTTATGTGAACATTTATTATATTCAGCTATGTAGTTTGTATCCTAGATTTTTGAAATTTATATACATGTTTTTATAAAGGTCATTGAAAAGTATTTTAATGTAGAATTCTACATTAGTAAGAAATAGAATAATGACCAAAAAGTTTGAATAGAAATCTTTGTTAAATATTTATTCTCTCTTTCTCTAGAATGACTATTTGACTCATATTTTTGACATTATATTTTCATTAATTTTCTTCCTCTACTTTTTCTTTGCTTCAAGTTACAGTGAATTAAGAATATCCTTTGGTCGTACTCATTCTTTTTTAGAATTTTATAATTTGAGGCCAATTTGAATATTGTGACATTATTGTTCTTGAGGTTGTCCAGAAAGGTAAATCTGACGGCTTGACTGCTAGTCATACAGCTGCCATCTAATGTTCTTGTTTAGTTAAAACACAGTTGTATCGTAGCCAGTACCCATTACTTTTTAGTTTAGCCTAGCGCATGTCCAATCATCCTGCTTAAGCTACCTCATTCTTCCTTACCACTTTTCAGCTTAGTTCGAGAAAGCTTTTGTTCATTTTTTTGCATCCATTATTTTATGTAAGCTAGTCATTCTAATGTCTTGTAATATATGAATGCTATAAATGCTCTTATTTATCTTGTTAAATTATAATATGGTTTCAGATGAACTACTTTTACCTCATATGAAAAAAATAGATGGCATGCTGAACGATAACCGGAAGAGACTTCTTTTGAATCTTCATTTGGATCAGCCCTTCAAGGTATTTCGTTTAGGTGACTTGTTAATAAAACTTATAGTGGCATTTGTAGTCCCAAGTATACTAGGAAATATATAATAGCCATTCTCACAAATGCAGAATTGTTCACCTGACAAAAATCTGGCTCTTTGTTCATCATGAGTCCACTTATTTGTCTTTCGAGTGTTAACCATGTGGTATTCTTGTATAAAATAACTTCCAAGGGTGGGCATTTGGACTAAGTTAAAACATCTGTTAAGATTCCCACATCCTGGGCCAACTTGTGGCATGCTGGGTTACCATGCTGCCTGCAATGCCAGTATCCCATAAGTGCGACTTACTTGAGTCCTGGCTACTCCCCTTCCAGTCCAGTTCCCTGGTAATGTGCCTGGAAAGGGAATGGAAGATGCCCTAAGTATTTGGGTGACTATCAACAATATGGGAGACCTGGATGGAGTTCCAGGCTCTTGGCTTCTAACTGGCCCAGCCCTATTCTTTGTAGCAATTTGCCAAGTGAATCAGTAGATGGAAGATCCTTTCTGTCTCACACACAGACACATACACAATCCTACCACTCAGATACACACACACACACACACACACACATATGTATTTTTATAGAGTCATTTATCTGTTTGAATGTCTAAGTTATAAAGAGAGATCGATCTTCCATCCATTGGTTTAATTTACAGATAGCTGCAATGACCAGAGCTGGGCCAGACCAAAGCCAGGAACCAGGAAACTTAATGAGTCTCCCATGTGGAGGGCAGTGGCCCAAACACATGCGTCATCCTTTACTGCTTTCCCAGGTCATTAGGGGAGCTGATTTGAAAGTGAAGCGGCCAGTGTATATACAGGCACCCACATGGAATGCCAGCCCCACAGGTGGTAGTTCTATACTACAGTATTGGCAATAACCTTAAAAGACAGTAGCCCATCAGAGTGCCAGCCTCTGCTCCTGGTTGAGCTCCCTGCTAATATGCCTCCTGAGGGTAGTAGGTGATGGTTTAGTCCGAGCCATTATGTAGGGGAACTGGATTGAGTTCTAGTCTCTTAACTTTGACCTGGCCTAGTCCCAGCTATTTCAGGCTTGGGAGTACTCTCTGCCTTTTCAAATTAATAATTTGAAAATAAACAAATAAGTAAATTCCAGTTGTTCTTTGCAGATACTTCCCTTAAATTATACTCAAATATTATCTCTTAAACTTTAAATAAATAAATTTAATTTTAAAAATAATTAGCCTGTTCTTAGTTATGAAATTCTCTGTACTTACCTGATTTATCAGTACCTGAGGGAAAAAAACTGATTTTCATATAATGATAGGCTATCTACACGTTATGTCATCTTGGAAATGGAAATAAGATTTTGTGTCATCCAAAATCCAAAATAAAATAGTCTAAACTCAAAAAAATTGTGAAAGCAGTTTTTCAGAGTTTTTCATCACAATATTTAGAATCCATTTGATTATCATATCTACTTTAGAAGCATTTCCTGTTGATGGTAACAATATTTATATACGTTTTCACATCCTATTTTGTAAATTCCACATAAAAATGAATGCTTTCCCTATAAGGAAGTAAAAATTTAAGTTTTGATATTGAATTCAAACTTGAATGACTCTTAAGCTGCTATAGCATTAATGTATGAGAAGTCTTTTTTTTTTTTTTTAGAGATTTATTTATTTATTGGAAAGTCAGATATACAGAGAGGAGTAGGAGTGACAGAGGAAGATCTCCCGTCCAATGATTCACTCGCCAAGTAACCGCAACTGCCGATGCTATGCTATCTGAAGCCAGGATCCAGGAACTACTTCCGGGTATCCCACACAGGGGTGCAGGGTCCCAAAGCATCGGGCTGTCCTGGACTGCTTTCCCAGGCCACAAGCAGGGAGCTGGATGGGAAGTGGAGCTGCTGGGATTAGAACCGGTGCCCATATGGGATCCCGGGGCATTCAAGACGAGGACTTTAGCTGCTAGGCCACGCCGCTGGGCCTGAGAAGTTTTCATAAAGTTCGTTAACAAGGCACATTCTTTCTTTAAAAGATTGATTTGTTTGGGCCAGTCGGCGTGGCCTATCGGCTATAGTCCTTGCCTTGTACGCGCTGGGATTCCATATGGGCGCTGGTTCTAATCCCGGCAGCTCTACTTTCCATCCAGCTCCCTGCTTGTAGCCTGGGAAAGCAGTCCAGGACCACCCTATGCTTTGGGACCCTGCACCTTGGGAGACCTGGAGGAAGCTCCTGGCTCCTGGCTCCAGATTGGCACAGCACTGGCCATTGCGCTCCCTTGGGGAGTGAATCATCGGACGGAAGATCTTCCTCTCTATCTCTCCTCCTCTCTATACATCTGACTTTGTAATAAAAATAAATAAAGCTTTTTAAATTTTTTTTAAAAGATTTGCTTTATTTTTATTGAAAAGGCGGATATACAGAGAGGAAAGACAAAGAGGAAAATCTTCCATCCGATGATTCACTCCCCAAGTGAGCGCAACGGCCGATGCTATGCCGATCCGAAGCCAGGATCCAGGAGCTTATTCCGGGTCTCCCACGCGGGTGCAGGGTCCCAAGACTTTGGGCTGTCCTCGACTGATTTCCTAGGCCACAAGCAGGGAGCTGGATGGGAAGTAGAGTTGCTGGGATTAGAACCGGTGCCCATATGGGATCCCGGGGCATTCAAGACGAGGACTTTAGCCGCTAGGCCACGCCGCCAGGCCCGAGAAGTCTTCATAAAGTTCGTTAACAAGGCACATTCTTTCTTTAAAAGATTGATTTGTTTGGGCCAGTCGGCGTGGCCTATCAGCTATAGTCCTTGCCTTGTATGTGCTGGGATTCCATATGCGCTCCGGTTCTAATCCCACCAACTCCACTTCTCGTCCAGCTTCTACTTGTAGCCTGGGAAAGCAGTCCAGAACAGCCTGATGCTTTGGGACCCTGCACCCATGTGGGAGACCTGGAAAGAAGATCCTGTCTCCTGGCTTCAGATCAGTACAGCACCAGCTGTTGTGCTCACTTGGGGAGTAAATCATTGGACGGAAGATCTTCCCCTCTATCTCTCCTCCTCTCTATACATCTGACTTTGTAATAAAAATAAATAAATCTTTTTTTTAAAAAAAAAGATTTTTTTGTTTATCTGAAAACATTACAGAGAAGGAGAGACAGAGATTTTCCATCCTCTGTTTCACTTCCCAGCGGGCTGTGACAGCCAGGCCTGAGATAGGATGAAACCAGGAACCAGGAGATTCACCAAGTCTCTTAACGTTAGCAGGGACCCATGTACTCTGGCCACATTCCCCTGCTTTCCCTGGCCATTAGCAGGGAGCTGAAATGGGAATTGAGCAGTAGGACTTTAAATAGCATCCATTGGGATGCCAAGACCATAGGCAATGGTCTCACTTGCTCCATCATAAATTCAACCTCAAAAATAGAATTCTTAAAAATTACATTCTTTTGTGAACTTTCTCAAGTATTCTTAATTTTCTTCACTGCCCTGCATTTGCAGGGAAGGGAGGTCAGAAGCTGGTGAGAAGCTTCAGGTTGAGATTATTCATAGGCCAATATGTTCTCACTCAACTCTTGCCTTCAAATACAGTATTCTAAAAGATTTACTACATATTAGAAATGACCAATTTGGGCTAGTTATTTTATCGGTGTGAAACCTGTTTCTAGCAACTTGTGATGGGGATCTTCCAAAATGTTCAAGGACATACACTATAGTGGGACCCCGGGTAGACATGGAGGCCATTCCTCATCCCTGGGTACTAGGACATTTGGGAGGCTGGATGTGGCTTCCGCCTTAATCTCTCCCCTTCCCCCAGAGACAAGAAGAAATGGAGAATTAGGAAAGAATGATCTCACCCATTTTGCCCTGATCCTTAATCCTTCCCACCCTGGTCAACCTGATAATCACCATCAAATAAATAAAATAAAAATGTTTTAAAAGTTCAAGGAAAATGCACATTATGAAGAAACTATGCATGAAAAATCAATTTTGCACAAGAATGAACTCTTCATTCTTTTATGTGCACTTTTCAAAGTGCTTTCATAATAAAATCAGTTGGAATATAATCAGTTCCATAAATGTTTATAACTTATGCAGTGGTGTGTAATGAGCAGCTAAAAAGTTAATTTTTATACTATTTTCATAGGAGAAAAGCAAGACTTGTTAGTTTGTAATTAAATTATTAATATCATAACTTTTATGTAAAGCCACTTCAAACCAAAATCAAATTCAATGCCAAATATTATTAGAGGTAGATTAAGATTTTGAATTCCTTAGAAATAATTAAAACTACTTTCCATTATGATATTAGTAATTTGAAGAGTGAATTCTAAAGCCATGTTTTGGTTTCTTTTTTGTGGTTGTTTTTCTTAAAATGTATTTATTTATTTATTTATTTGGAAGGCAGAGTGACAGAACTTCCATCTTCTAGTTTACTGTATAAATGTCTGCAGAGGCTGCGATGTCGCTAAGCTGAAGCTAAGCCAAGTACTCCATCTGGGTCTCCTCTACATGTGGCAGGGACCCGAGGACTCAGAGCATCACCCACCGTGTCCCTAGGTACATTAACAGGAAGCTGCAGCACAGTACTTCCAGTACGGGATGCAGGTGTCCTAGGCAGATGCTCAGTCCGCTGCACTAGAGCACCCATCCCTCCTGAAGCCTTGATGATGATTATGATGCTCTTTAATGTGTTGTGCTCATTTGGAAAAATCCCAATTTCTCCTTTATCCCCACTGCAATTGGTTTTGCCATGGTTTTGCCACATGGCCACTGTATAATCAATCAATGGTCATCAGAACCTGTCATCATGGTCTGAAAAGTCATCAAACTGTTTTAGGGTCTTGCATGCTTCCACTGTAGTCAGAAAATGTAAGAGAAACACTACAACGCCCCTTGTTTTCCTGTGGACCTCTTTAGAACAGATCTCAGTAGTACTGAAGCTACTTACAGGGCTCTCTTTCCCCTACCTTGGAACCAGAGGGCATTACTAGAAAGAACTCTTCCTTGCTCAGGGGACTCAGTAGAGTGCTTTGTTACTCAAACAAGCAGGTCACAAGGTTCGCCTAGATTGCAGGTGTGAAGAAATGAATTTCACATCTGATGGGGTAACTGCAAAGTTGAACCAACCCCCTTCCATCACGTTAGCCACACACACAGACACTATATATATACATGGATATATTTACCACATTCTGTCAGTTTTGCCACAGACAGGTGTATGCGTACATATAAATTATAAATAGCTGGAAATAGTTCAGGTTAGTTTTCTTCTGATGTCAATTATTTTGTTTCACTGTTTTAAAGAATGCTTTGGAAAGTTTTCCTGAACTAACAATAATTACTCGAGACTCTAAAGCAAAAAGTGGAGGATCTGCTATTTCTAAAATCAAAATGAATGGCAAAGCTTATAATAAGAAAACTTTAAGGACCTCTAAAACATCCAGTAAATCTGCCCAAGTAAGTATAAATTGCTTAATGTAAGTATATCTTTACCAGTTATTAATACACTTCCTACCATAAGCATTAACATCTGCAAATTTTGACTGCTGTTAAATAAGTCACACCTACTAAGTGTGGAGTCTTTGGACAGGAGGCCTAGGGACTCACTGTTACTGCAGTAACACTCAGATTTTTAAGGATAGGCTTATCAGGGAAAAAAAATCACCCCACATTTGTTTATAATTGAGACATAAAATTTATGTGTGTTTTATCTTGTACAACATGTTGTTTTGAAGTTGCAATATAATATGGAGTGGCTAAATATCTCTATGTAGTTTTGTCATTGGGTACACATACATGCATACAAATGGGTACACAATTTTGTGTAAGAATAGTCAATATTGGTGGCCCAGCCCAATAGCCTAGTAGCTAAATCCTCACCTTGCATGCCCAGGATCCCATATGAGAGCCAGTTCATATCCTTGCTGCTCTACTTCCCATCTATCTGCCTGGGAAAGCAGTCTAGGACGGCCCAAAGCCTTGGGACTTTGTACCCTCATGGAAGACCCAAAGGAAGTCCCTGGTAGCTGGCTTCAGATCGGCTCAGCTCTGGCCATTCGATCACTTGGACAATAAATCAGCAGATGGAAGATCTTCTCTCTCCTTCTCTATATCTGCTTTTCCAATAAAAATAAATAAATATTTTTTAAAATAGTCAATATTGGTTAAGTCAATACAGTTGGTATTTTATTAATCAATATTCAAAGATGAAATTGTTACACTTTTTCAGAAAAGTACAAAGTGTCATAGTAACTATATTCTGTAGAAACATTCCTGGGTGCATGAGAGCGTATGCCTCTACTTCACAGTTGTTAAGTACTAGGGTCACAGTGAGGAGCACAGACAATTGTGGCCCTCGTATCATTTATTCAAAATATATAAAACAGCATGGAGTGGTAGGCAAACTGTAGGTAAGTTTTTAAAAAAAAAAAAAAAAGCTGAAGAAGAAAAATTGCAGGGTAATATGTAAAGTGTGGTTTCTTTTCCCTCAAAAAACATTCTGTTAGTAATGCATATGTTATATCTTGGGAGAAAACATGAATGAATAGAATACGTGCTGCTGGCGTCATTTGTCTCTGAAATGAGAGACTGTAAGAAGCTTTTTCTTCATAAGTCATCTTACATGCTTGCTATTTAAATTTTCTACAATATTTGAGTTTTTTTCAAATAGTGAATATATCCAGGAGACATAATGATCTTACAATGAAATTTAAATTATTTTAAGTAAGCCTCTACCCATATTATTATAAACTATTGCTTAGCCATATTAGTCATTTTCAAGGTTGCCATTGAGACTTTCTATGTGCTATTTGCCTATTAGTATTCTTATCTCAGATGCTCTAAGAAACGTATCTATAAACTCCTTTGTTTTTGTAGGAGTTTGCTGTTGATCCAGAGAAAATACAGTTGTATTCTTTGTATCATTCACTCCATCATTATAAATACCACGTTTACCTGATATGTAAAGATGAGGTAATTTCTTCTCATTTATTTTTAAAAGAAATACGGTTTTCTGAACTTTAAGGAGACTTTGTAGTCTTTGTGAATGATTTCAAGAGAATTGGTGTAAATTCTGTGTGTTTGTATTTTGCTATATTCTCCTGTTAAGTAGTGACTGGAAGATTGTTTCTGCTGTGTTTTGAGCTGAGGTTAACTGAAGTCTTCCCATCTTGAGCTATAATTGGTAATCTTTTTAAGCTGTTAGTGCTTGCTTTAGTTACATTGACATACTGCATGATGCTTTATCGCATTTTGTTTTCATAACGTGTAACAATACTGCTTTAATTCACAGTGTTCACTGCTGTGAGATCTTAATGTCTTATTTATCACTAGAATGGCTGTATCCCACTTAATTGTAGAGAAATGGGCTTTTTGTACCTTGGCATAACAAGATGAAAGTTTAATTTTCAATATTTTTAAGTTGTTGAGAAATTACACTAACTTGTGGACAGAATATAAGGGTTAATTTCCTCAGATAGGTTAAATAACTGTAGATAGTACTAGCTTATTTAGTAGCACTATCACCTTTTTATTAAAATAGATTGATCACTTTTCAAATACTCTGAAGTTCAGAATTTACCACATTATTTGTCATTTGGCCCTTAACCCAATTAGAAGGAATTGAGAAAATCTGAAGCACTTTCTCAGGCCTTCCCACCTACCCCAGTGGAGCCAAAGGTAATGGGATCAGCTACAGCCAAAGGTGTCTTTCTCCATGCATAGAATTAGGGCAAGAAGGTCCAGTAATTGTAGATGAATGAATAAATCCTCAGTTTGATTTTGACAAACAATATGTAAGCCCCTGTGAAAAGCTTCAGTATAAGCTAATGTGGCAATTTTCTTTATTTTAGATTTCTTCTGTGCAGAAAAAAAATGAAGATTTAGGACAGGAAGAAATTGTTCAACTTTGTATGAAAAATGTAAAATGGGTGGAGGACCTATTTGAAAAATTTGGAGAACTTCTAAATCATGTACAGCAGAAATGTTCCTAACGTTTCTACAAAAATCTCGTGTTTTTTATAGCACTAATGAAATGGCAGAGGGGGTGGTCAAAGATAATCAGATGTCAAGCGGTGATCTCCCGCAGGCTTGCCCACCTCGGCATGGAGCTCTCATCGTGACCTCTGCAGTGGGACAGTGGTGCTGCGAAGGAAATCAGTCCTTTGGAAACGGACTTAATCCCACCACACTTTTATCCTAATGATTTTTTCTATTTTGTGAACAATTGGGTAACAGGTTTATATTTGAAAAAAAATTTTTGACAAATGATGAAGCATGCACTAAATATATTTTTTTTAATTGTTAGAGAAATAACACTTAAGTAATTTGATTTTTTTTTCCTGGCACTGGCTAAATACCGGAATGAAAAGAGACGTGACAGAAAGCATATGTTTTCATGTCTGGCCACAAACTGAAGGTATTGTACATTATGTAAACAGCTCTGGTGTGATGTAACATCCCCTAGGAAAATATTATCAACTTAAAATATAAAATTCAGAAACCACACTCTACTTCATGGACTCCTTTACTCTTTACATGTTCAGGAAACTGGATGTGGAATTGGTGCAATTCTGTGACTGTTCTTTGTGTCAAATTATATTATGAAGAAAAATCCATGACATACTATTTTCCCTATCTTGAAGAAAAGTATTTTTGTTTATACTGTGTTTTTTTTCCTTTGGGAAAAAAAAATTCAATTGTACATTTTATTTTACTAATAGTTGTATTTTCACAAGGAAAATGTTGTGGTTATAAGTATGTTCTCTGTATCTGCACTACGCTTCATTACTTTAAGTAAATTTTATTTAGCTTTATGTTACATTTCTATTGTGGATTTTGATTTTATCTTGAGGTAATTTCATCTGTTTATACAGTTTCTTCAGTATTACCCAGAATATGCATTCAGTACTATAGTTAGTTCAGCTTTATAAATGGGGTTGTATTAGACACTGCAGCAATTTCCTAATTCATGAAATAAATTTCTTGCTAAACTGTGCTTAACTGATTGTCAAAAATCTAACTACGTGATGCATTTTGAAAACTAAAATTGATATTTAGACTATGCAGTGCTAAACATGGTTTTTTTCCTAACTCTCAGAACTGGAAGTGACAGAGTCCTCCGTTTGGTGCCTTTTCAACCTTTATACACACTAGGGTAGTTTTCCTAAGTTTGATAACTAGCAACATTTCAAGTAGTTTAGCTGAGACAGTGAATGTATTAGGTTCAACATGACCTTGTGTTTTATTTGCGTTTGCCAACAGGATGCCTTATTTGTTTGTGAAAAAGATATACCAGTGTCATTCTAAACTTTCTTTTTTTTTAGGATTCTAAAGAAGTTATTAAACATCATACCTTTGTTTATTTTAACCACCATTTAGTGCCTTAAGTCCTATTAAGAAAGCAGTGTTACTGCTCAGTGCCCAAATATGATGTGCTTATATGGATATTAGTATTGTCTTGATTTTAACAGGCCTGTTACACTTAAAAGCTCAGTAAACTGACGAAGAATTGAAGATAACATGGGACTTAATTTAAGAATAAAACATTTTCATTATACTGTTGAGTGAATAATGAGTATCTAAGTTAAATTTACATACTTATTTATAACGGTTTTCTTATTAAAAGCAATAATCTTTAATACTTGTACTTGCCATTAAACAAAAAGGTACTCATTAATGAAGTTTCTCTCAAGGGTAAAATGTTTTATATAACCTATTTTGGACAGCCTATTTTGAAAACAAAAGTAATTATTGGATTCATGTAGCCCAACTCTGTAAGAGGAGCAAAGAAAACGAACAGCAGGAGCAATTCATGAAGTGAGTTTTTTGGTGGAGACGTGTACAAAGCAGCCATAATTCTTTTTGATGGTATTGACTCTGGACAGAATTGGTTTCTTTCATTTCCACAGTGCAGTGTAAGGGATTGATTTCTGAATGTTTTTTGTAACCACATTTTTGCATTGCTCCCCAGCTTCCTTTCCTGAATCACAGATGATGTAGCCACACTTCATGTCAGTCCCATGGAAAACAAAGATGTTAATCTTGTATCCTGCAACAAAAAACTATTTCCTTTTCAAGTGCAGTTACCCTTAAAACTGTTTACAATTGTGTTTCTTTTGGTTGCTAAAAGAAGTGTTTTCATAATATGGGAGGCCAAATCCTATGCTATTGCCTTGGAGAGACCTTGCTGTATATATGCATAATCATCTCTCAATTGGTCCATACAACATAGGCAAAAAATATCAACCTCAGGCCTTAGATAAATATGGGACTACTATAACAACCATGCATGGGTCCTTTCTTGTATGAAGTTAAATAAATACCTACCTGTTTAGCATTTACATTCCTTCCCAGGAAGCTTGAAATTTATAATGTAGAAATAAGTTTAGGTTGTAGATAGAGATAAATAACTAAAGCACATGTTACCACTACCAAGAAATATTTTTAAGACAGATTGGATTTTCTTACCTATAGAGAATTGAAGTCATCTAATGTAAAAAATCATTTTTGTGATGTTATTTATCACTAGTTCAGATGAGAGGTTAAAGAAGTGGCCCCTTTGTCATTTTCATTATAACCTATTTCCCACTTATTTGATCCTTTCATTGAGTGGGAAATTTGTAATAATTTATGAATTATCACATTAAGCCAACACTATAACATACCCATTTCCTGTTTCCCTGTAAAATAGCAAATAATGGTAAGATGGGAAAAATATAGCTTATTTTAAAATGGGTTATGAATTGTAAAATTCTAAATTTATTTAACTTTGTAGAACATAAAAAATAAATATAGAGATGATTCATTCATTGGACTGTTTTCAGATCTTCCTTCACGTTTCTTAAAGGGTAGTTTTCCTCCTATAATTCCTATTTATTTTCTTGGAAGCAGCTATTTCCAACCTGTGACTTTGAAGACAGACTCAAAAAGCCAATACAGCAGTAGGGGTGTGAAGCAGCTTTCCCAAAAGTTGCTTGAGATGTGTATGTAAGTTGTGAGTTTTATTGGATTTGTTGAATACAAGTTTTGTTTTTAAATTGTATTTACAATTGTTTCACAAAAATGTTTTTTAGATAGAGTAAAATATCCCAGGATAATTTCTGTGTCAGTTGTACTTGACACATTAACTGCACAAATGAACAACGTACACTATTGGTTGTGCATTAACTTATGTGTACAACTTTTGGCATCTGTGTTCACAAATGCATGTTTTTTATAGATCACTTTTATTTATAAGTGACGTAATTGAAGTTAAGGATACAAAGAAACCTGCATTTGTAGTCCAGAGTATTTAATTGGTCTATAATACAATGTATGGAAATGTGAAAGACAATTTTGTATATTTGTTTGCTACTAACTCAGATCATTAAAATGAAAACAATTTTTAAACAACAAAATCGGAATGTTTGAGGTTTGTTTTCCTTTGTTAAAATTTGAAAAGTGAGTTCTTATATGCCAAAAGCACATCATGTTATCTCACTCAACACATGACATTTATGGATGACTAAACAGAGTTATCCGGCACAAATGATACAAGACCTACCTACTATTTGCTATCGTGTAATTTGTTTTGGTTCTAAAACGTAGAGTTTGAATTTCTTTAATGCATACAGTGAGGAAATCTTGTGCAATGAATGGTGACCGTCAGATGATGATTACTCTGTTGGCTGCTGGAATTGATCACTTCAGCATTTTCCAGGTTTCAGAAACTCATGCTTCACATCTTCTGTATTGCAAACCTCAGTGATAGCATATTGCTTTGTTCCTGTTTTGTCACTGCTGCCTCTTTCTGTTAGTATCTTTTTTTTTTTCTTTTAAATATTTATTGCAAAGCCAGGTTTACAGCAAGGATAATCTTCCATTTGTTGGTTCACTCCCCAAGTGGCCGCAACAGCTGGAGTTGAGCCAATCTGAAGCCAGGAGCCAGAAGATTTTGGATCTCCCATGTGGGTGCAGGGTCCCAAGGCTTTGGGCTGTCCTCTACTCTTTTCCCAGGCCACAGGCAGTGAGCTGGAAAAGAAGTGGAGCAGCTGGAATATGGAATATGAACCAGTGCCCGTATGGGATCCCAGAACATGCAAGGTGAAGACTTTAGCCACTAGGCTACTGTGCTGGACTCCTGTTAGTACTTTTAAGGTGCACTTAGTATCTCAGTGAGGTTCTATGAGCTGTTATTTAAGTTTTTTTAAAGATTTATTTATTTATTGGAAAGTCAGATATACAGAGAGAAGTAGGAGAGACAGAGAGGAAGATCTTCCGTCAAATGACTCACTCCCCAAGTGAGTGCAATGGCCAATGCTATGCTGATCTGAAGCCAGGATCCAGGAACTTCTCCTGGGTATCCCACACTGGTGCAGGGTCCCAAAGCTTTGGGCCGTCCTCAACTGCTTTCCCAGGCCACAATCAGGGAGCTGGATGGGAAGTGGAGCTGCCGGCATTAGAACCAGTGCCCATATGGGATCCCGGGGCTTTCAAGGCGAGCACTTTAGCCACTAGGCCACGCTGCCGGGCCCAGCTGTTATTTAATTTAACCCATCTGCAGGAAGATGTGTAACAGGATACTTCTCTTGTTTTCAATATGGAAACAATTTGCTGTGAGAAAAGTAACAAAACTACTCTTGTTTGTTGTTGGTAGGGGGAGTCAAAACTTTCTTTAAAAGTTAGAAATCACTCTTTGTTTCTTGAAGTTGGCCGCAAAGCATGCTTTTCAACTCCTGGTATAGGGTAATTCACAAAATGTGATATGAACAATACCTTCTTGTTTAGAATTCCTAAGTTTCAGAGACACTCATATTTCAAAGGAAACACTCCAAAGTGAAATAAATAAGACTTGGGATATATATATTTCAGCTAGGATGAATAATTTAGAGCTGCCTGGTTTCAGGTTAAATGAAGATATGATTACCTGTCTGTGTTAATGTTATCTATTGTGTGATGTTAATCAAAAATCTAGAAGTTGCTTTGCAAATATTTCGTGTTTTTAATATATAATTTAACCATGATGGTTGACGAGTTTATTGGTTACAGTCAAATTAATTCTAGGTTTTCTTTAAGTTTTATTAGAATAATAAAGATGATTCAAAACATAGAATAAAAAAGGACATGACAGAAATGTTTCTCTAAAACTGTATTCAGCATTCTCTTTCTTTTCTCCTCATCTTCCCAGCCTTTCTGTGACTTTTCATTGTTTTTAACCCAGTTCTCTATCACAACTTAAAAGGTCCTTTATGAAATGGTCACGCCTTACCCATCTTGCATTCTTTCCCTGCTGTGTCCCACTCCAAGGAGACCATGTTTAAGCTCCTAGGTACATGGGGGTTTTTTGCCTCCAGCCTTTCATGTCACCTCGGTTGGACTTTCTTCACTTCTTTATTCAGATTTCACTTTGACATCACTTTACTGAATGACAGCAAGGGTGTGTGTGTGTGTGTGTGTGTGTGTTTCTTTTTTAAGAGTTTATTTTGGGCCCAACAAATAGCATAGTGGTTAAACTCCTCGCCTTGCACGCAGTGGGATCCCATATGGTTCCCGTTTCTAATCTCGGCAGCTCTGCTTCCCATCCAACTCCCTACTTGTGGCCGGGGAAAGCAGTCAAGGATGGTCCAAAGCCTTGGGTTCCTGGCTTTGGATCGGTTCAGCTCCAGCCGATGCGCTCACTTTTTTTTTCCTGGAAAGTCAGATCTACAGAGAGGAGAGACAGAGAGGAAGATGTTTCATCCGCTGGTTCACTCCCCAAGTGACCAGAGTTGAGCTGATCCAAAGCCAGGAGCCTCTTCCTTGTCTCCCGTGCGGATGCAGGGTCCCAAGGCTTTGGGCCGTCCTCGACTGCTTTCCCAGGCCACAAGTAGGGAGCTGGATGGGAAGTCCAACAGCCAGGATATAAACCAACACCCATATGGGATCCCAGCACATGCAAGGCAAGGACCTTAGCCACTAGGCTTGCACCAGGCCCCACATCAGATTTTAATTCTCCCCAAATTAGTTGCACTTCATTCCAGTATAGCTTTCAGCACACTTTAGTTCATTGATTAATTACAGATCTCTTGCTGAATCCTGTCATGTGGTGAAAGGGCCCAGTGCACTTCTGACATCTAATGCAGTATCTGGATTGTAGCATGTTCAGAGAAGAGTTACAGGAATATTAAAAAGATAAAGATGGCAAGGAAGAAATTTTGCAGTAAAGCCATAAATAACATTAATGAGAAGTAGCAATTCCATCATTTAAAGGAAATTAATATACTGATAGTTTGTGTAGTATCACAAATTGTTGACATTTTATGAAAAAGTGAAGTACAATAGCCATCATTTTCAGATTTGCCCTCAAAAAACAGAGTAGTCCAGAAATCAACATTTCTGTGTCTGGGCCTTGAGATTATCCTGACAGAAATGCTGACCTGAAGAAATTCATGGTAAACACTTCTGGTTTTTTTTAAGATTTATTTATTTTTACTGGAAAGTCAGATACACAGAGGGGAGGAAAGACAGGAAGATCCTCCGATGGTTCACTCCCCAAGTGACCACAGTGGCCAGAGCTGAGCCAATCCAAGCCAGGAACTCTTCCGGGTCTGCCAAGGCTTTCCGGGTCCTAAGGCTTTGGGCCGTTCTCAACTGCTTTCCCAGGCCACAAGTAGGGAGCTGGACGGGAAGCAGGGCCGCCAGGATTAGAACTGGCGACCATACAGGATCCTGGCGTGTGCAAGGCCTCAACTACTATGCTGGTAAACACTTCTAAATTTCTGTGTTACATGTATTCATCTTGAGCAAAATAATGCGGTAGAAGGGCTTTATCCATGGGGAAGGAGTGCTTTGAGGAAGCTGGGCCTGCTGGGGGATGCTGGCAAAGTTCAGAACAGCAAGTGCTTCAGTGCTGCCACGAAGCCAGCTCTGGCTTCAGGCATGACATTTGAAATCTAGCATCCTGAAAGTGAATTAAGAGCCAAAGTCTTTTTAAGCTGTTTGGTTTTTTTGATTCCAGATAGACTGGAATGCTGGAGAAACACAGAATGGTTTGGTTTCCTGCACAAACAAGCACATTAGAACAATGAAATGAGAAGTTCTTAGTATATTTACTACTACATTGCAACACTTAATTTTTTTTTAATTTGTCATTATATTACCTAAGTTCATGCTGTTCTTTTGATTTATTCACTTAACCGAAAGGCAGAATTACAGAAAGACAAGACTAAGATCTTCCATACGCTGGTTCATTCCCCCAAATGGACATAGTGGCTAGAGCTAAGCCTGGATGAAGCCAGGAGCCAGGAACTTCATCCAGGTCTCTTACGTGGATTCAGTGGCCCAAGGACTTGGGCCAACTTCCACTGCGTTCATAGGTGCATTAGCTATTAGCTGAACAGGAAATGGAGCAGCTGGGACACAAACCAGCGCCCATACAGGGTCTCAGGGCTTGAAAGGAGAGGATTAGCCAATCAAGCCATTATGCTAGGCCTTGCCTTTCTGTCTTTATAATCTCTTTTACAAAACCAGCCCTTTTGATGCCACTCTTAGTTTTCTTCATTGTGTTTACTTTTCAACAGACCATTGTAAGAGACCGTTGTAATTTTTACATTTAATTTCCATCCAATGCATGGATGTGAATGGGCCAGCAGGTGTCTGGGCAGTGATACAAGGGAATTCAAAACACTAGCAGCCGTGTCCACTCACTGTGTATTAATAATTGAGCAGTTGGGCCCAGCGCGGTGGCGCAAGTGGTTAAAGGTCCTCGCCTTGCACGCCCGGGCTCCCATATGGGTGCCGGTTCTATCCCGGCAGCCCCACTTCCCTTCCAGCTCCCTGCCTGTGGCCTGGGAAAGCAGTCGAGGACAGCCCAAAGCTTTGGGAACCTGCACCCGCGTGGGAGACCCGGAAGAGGCTCCTGGCTTCGGATCGGCATAGTATCGGCCCGTTGCGCTCACTTGGGGAGTGAATCATCGGACGGAAGATCTTCCTCTCTGTCTCTCCTCTCTGTATATCTGCCTTTCCAATGAAAAAATAATAAAAATAAATCTTTAAAAAAATAATAATAATTGAGCAGTTGACTCTATGCTTCCTGAAAAAAATGAGTATTCTAGTTAGCTAGTCTATATCAGGAAAGGCTGTAGTATTGAATATTGAAAAAGTTTAAAGTTTCTGGGGCTAGTGCTGTGGTATAGCAGGCTAGGTGGCATTGCTCCTGCTGCCAGTTCAAGTCCTGCTGCTTTACTTCTGATCCAGATTCTTACTCATATGCCTGGGAGAGCAGAAGAGGATGACCCAAGAGTTTGGATCCCTGCACCCACGTGGCAGAGCCCGAAGAACCTCCTGGCTTTGGGCCAGCTCAGATGTAGGAGCTCTCAGATCCTCAGATGTCTCAGATCCTCAGATGTAGGATCTCTCTCTGCCGCTGTTGCTCT